GGCACAAAGGATAGCTAGGGCTGGGCCGTGGCTCGCACCTGTAATCCCAGCTACTTGTAAGGCTGAGGCAGGGAGATCACTTGAGCTCGGGAGTTCAAGTGAACTGGGCCTCCCCTGAGAATGCAGCCACCTGCTCTTCCTTACTGCTTTCCTTATTTTATGTTATTATTGTTTCAAAATATACTGGGTCAAAATATATGCCTGCCTGATCTATCCATTCTTGCTGTACTCCATTAGTTAATGTTTTAAGAATAGGCTTTGGAAAATACTAAGCTTCAAAACAACAGAATCCCCATAGTCAAGATTAGCATTCTCTTCTTCCCATAGGTCAATTTTTCCTGCTATTTTGGATAAGACGCATCCTGGACCACAGGTGAGAGCATACTTGGCTCCATTCTCTTTTTCTTTTTACTGGGAAGAGGGTAACGTTCATGTGAGCATGAATGGTGAGTGTTTGGGAGATCCTTCCACACTCTCACATACCCATTAGTGGGGGGTATAAACTGGAACAACTTTTTTGAGGAATATTTTGGCAACATGTGTCAATAAGTTAAATGCACATTTCCTTCTATTCAACAATTTCTTTTTTAAAGAAGTTAATCTACAAATATGATCTCACAAGTATTGCATTACATATGTCTAAAGATGTTTATTACAGCATTATTGGTAACAGGAAAAGACTGGTAACAAAGCAAGCATCTATCAGCGGGGTGCTTGATGAGCATTATGTGGCACATCCATACATCGGACTACTGTGCAGTTATTAAGAAGAATGAGGCTGCTGTATATGCACTGATATGTTAGAATTTCTAAAATATATTAAGAGAAAAAAAAAACAGGTAAAATACAGAGTGTATTATCTGCTTCCATTAGTAGCATAAAGCGTATACTACGTTTCCATAAAGCCGAGGCCATGCAGGTGGGTACGCGTTTGTATCCGCATAACCTGTTTCAAGAAGGATCACAAGACTCCAACAATAATGGTTGCCTCCGAGGAAGGAAACAGCTTCTGAGGAAAGGGGGTAGACAAAGGATTATTTTTCATTGTTTACTCTTTTGAACACTTGGTATTAATATTTTGTATTATGTGAATGTATTACTTATTCAAAAAAATTATTTTTTTTCCTTAAAAACTGAGCTCCCCCAGGGGTAAGTGAGTTGGCAGAATACCATGGGGTGAGCCATGCTATTTCATACCTGGATGCTGTTACACCCTTTGCTGCAGTGGCCTTTGCCCTTCATTTCTTCAGTTCACTCCTGCCCTTGGAAACCTTCTCTGGCAGCCTTGCTCTCCATCTGAATCTTGTTCTACTCCCCACACTCTCCCAGGCCGCCACAGCCCTGGGCATGCCTTGAGCGCTGTCCTTGGCCCACTTGATGGCAATTGTGGGCTTACTGGTTTGTCTCTGGGCTAGCTGTGAGCTTCTTGATGGGAGAACCATGTCATAGCAGACTTTACAGTCTTGCACCCAGCAAGTCACCTGGTGGGGTTCAGCCAGAGCCATGGCTGGCCAACTGGATGGATGCAAGGAGGGTGCTTCTAGAGTGTCCCTTGCTTGGGATTTTCATCTCTGCTTTGTTCTCTGCTCTAATCTTGGCATGCACAACAGGGCTTGGCACATAGTATGTACTCACTATTTCTCGAATGAATAAATGAATGCCACCTAGAGGAAGAAGGGGGAAGAAGACTCAGCTGGTGTGAAGGTGTTCTGAGAGGTTAAGTAGGAGGAGGGCTGCTTAGTGCCAGGCCTCCAGGAAGACCAACTAAGGACACTGGGGAAGGAGCTGGCTTCAAAGCAAAGTATGACATTTGCCCACAAGAACGATCTGGTAGAGACACCAAATGACCTGGCAATTGTACTTCTATTTATTTCCCCCAAGAGAAATGAAAACGTATGTCCATGCAAAAACGTATGCACAATGTTCATGGCAGCATTATTTATAGCAGCCAAACTATAGAAATAACCCAAATGTCCATCAACTGATGAATGGGCAAGATTAAATGTAGCATATCATACAACGGAATATGCTTATGCAGCAACAAAAGGAAGTGCGGATCCACGCTATGACACGGACGAACCTTGACAACATTATGCCAAGTGAAAAAAGCCAGTCACAGAAGGCCAATGTATTGTTCTATTCATATCAGCACCCAAAATAAGGAAATCTATAGATACAGAAAGTAGATTAGTGGTTGCCAGGGTGTGGTGGTGGGAGTTGGGAGAAAATTGGGAGTGACTGCTAAGGGGAAAAGGGTTTCTTTTCGAGCTGATGAAAATGTTGTAAAATTGATTGTGGTGATGGTTGCCCAACTCTGTGAATATACTAAAAACCACTGAATTGTACACTTTAAATGAGTGCATTGTATGGTATGAATTACATCTCATTCACGCTGTTATACGAAAAAATAAGAATGACCCGGGGTTTCCTGGAGGCGTGAACCCAGATGCCAGGCAGCCCAGACCCACACAGACCAGCACCTGGGCCTCTAGGGTCCTGTCCCTGGAGTCAGGGGGGCTGAGCCCCATGGAAGACATTCTCAGTCACTCTGACGCCCTTGAAGCCAAGGCAGGGGGCCCTACTAGTGGGTCCTCAGGGCCAGTCGAGGAATGTGTCCCTGGGTTTGGGAAGGAGGAGGGCTGTGGGACCTTATTTCCCTCCCTGCAAGAGCTGAAGGGCTGTCACTGGGTGGGAATTTGGGGCGGAGTGGTAGGAGAGGATGGCACAGGGTAAGGGAGTATAAACTAAATCCAGAAATTCCATAGTTTTTGAGCACTCACTATGCGACTGGTGCAGTGTTAAGTGTGAAGCAATTGGGATGCAAAGCTGCAAAGAGGTATCACTGGCCTGGAAAACTTGCCAAGCCTGGCTGGAGACAGGTGTGTAAGCCAGCCGCTGACGTGCAGTGCCAAAGCGTGGCGCACAGGGACAGTAAGGGACTGTGTGTTTGCATCCCTGCACGCAGCTGTGCGCCGTCGCCGTGAGCGTGGGCCTGCCCCGGGTGCCCTCCCCCAGGGGCCCTGGGATGCGGGGTGCTCGAACGGTAGAATCGGGGTGTCCTGTCCTGGGTTTGGATTCCTGGAAGCCGCAGTTCCAGCGCTGAATGGGCGGGAACCGTGAACAGAACCGCCTCACAGGCACAGAGGGGACGGGGTGCGGGCCAGCCCCCCAATGCCCACGGGGCTGCAGGGAGCCACTGCAGGTCACAGCCGCGCATGCGTCTCTTCTTACGTCTGCAGCGTTTCACGTGCAGTCACGTGTCGCGTAAGATGCGAGACGTTCTGAGAAGTGCGTTGTTAGGTGATTTTGTCATTCTGCAAACATCACGGAGTGTACATACACACACCCCACTGTACGGCCTAGGATGCAAACACCTGCACGGTGTGTTATTGTGCTGAACGCTGTAGCCCACTGTAGCACAATGGTAAGTATTTGTGCACCTAAACATAACTGCACAGAGAAAAACTACAGTAAAAATATGGCATAAAAGATAAAAAAATGGCACACCTGTATAGGGCACTTCCCATGAATGGAGCTTGCAGGACCTGGAAGGTGCTCTGGTCGAGTCAGTGAGGGAGTGAATGTGAAGGCCTGGGACGTCACTGTACGCTGCTGTGGACTCCATGCACACTCGGGTTGCACTAAATCTATGAAAAATATTTTTCTTTCTTCAATAATAAAGTAACATGAGTTTATTGCCCCATTTTTACTTTATAAACTTAAAAATATTTTTGACTCTTATAATAACATTTAAAAGAAACATATACGACTGTACAAAAATACTTTGTTTATATCCTTATTCTGTAAGCTTTTCTCTATTATTAAAATTTTTTACTTTTTTACTAATTTTTAAAAATATTTTGTTAAAATCTAAGACATAAACACACACATTAGCCTAGGCCTACACAGGGTCAAGATCATCGATCTCACTGTCTTCCACCTCCACGTCTAGTCCCACTGGAAGGTCTTCAGGAACAATAACACATGGAGCTGTCATCTCCTGTGATAACAGTGCCTTCTGGAATACCTCCTCAAGGACCTGCCTGAGGCTGTTTTACAGTTAACTTTTTTTAATGAGTATGAGCACACTCTAAAATGATGATAAAAAGTATGGTAAACACATAAACCAGTCACGTAGTCCTTTGTTATCATTGTCAAGAATTACGTGCTGTGCCTAACGCATGCGCTTGACTTTTTTGACTGGCAGCACAGTAGGTTTGCTGACACCAGCGTCACCACAAACACATGGGCTGTGCTCCGAGGTCACTAGGTGATAGGAAATTTTCTGCTCCATTATAATCTTATCTGGCCACTGTCGCGTATGTGGTCTGTCATTGGCTGAAATGTTATGCGGCGCATGATTGTACGTTATAGATCATGTAAGGGTTTTAGGCTACTAACCGTCCATCTGTAGGAAATCATGTTCCAAGTTCCAAGTCCAGAATTATTTGGAATACACCTCTTTTGCTAGCAAATTAGACACTTGCAGTGGCTGATTCCCAGGAACGTCCTTGAAATACTTTAAGGGCCTGGATCGCCCCTGGGCCAGATAGGGTGCAGGGAAGGCTCGCAGGCCTTTTGCGTGAAGCTGCAGGAGCGCCCGCCCCAGCGTTCCTGGCCTTCCTGAGAGCTGCCCCGTTCATCCCGCCCTGCTGAGACCCTGGTAGGACCCGGACAGCTCAGCATGCCAGAAGGCAGAGGACGAGAGAGTAAGGCACCTCACAGCCTGTTCAGCCTCTGTGCGCTTCGGGCCCAGCTGGGTCCGGACCACGTGCTTCCGGAACTGACAAATGGGCAACGGCCCTTGGCAATGGCAGAACCTACCTTGGGGCTGAAAACAGAAGCTGTAATTACAGGAGAAAATACCCACAACAAATTCTGAAATGTAGCCCGCATGCTCCCTGGAACAGGGAGGGGTGGGAGGGGAGACTTACACCATCCTGGTGCAAACAGGGCAACATGAAAAACACTGTGCAGTCACGCTGAAAATTAAACAGATGTGAATTTCTTTAACTCAAAGGTTTAATTATTCTGACGTTTTCCATAACTTAATCTGGGCCATCACTTCGGCTTTAATTATGCATAATGAAATGGATTATTTACGGTAACTAATATGACAGGAAAAATGGAGAGGTGAGAATTGGTAACTTGGCAACTGTTGTCTATTGCTTTTTTTACTCAGCCAATGTATGTTGAGGACCTACTATGTTTCAGCCCTTCCCATGGTCATCTAGCTGTCCTATTAGGAAAAAATAGGCTTGTTAGAGCATATAGTACAGGCCAGATTTTTTCACTTCATCATCTCATGTGCCGCTTACTGCAAGGCGGGGATTCTTTTCCCTGATTTATAGAAGTGAGTGGAGCTGAGATTCTGAAAGGTTAGGTCATGTGCCTAAGGTCACACTGCAAAACTCCATCTTTTACCATCCACCTACTCTAGAGAGAAACCTATAGACTAACGTTCCACATCTTACTACCCTTCCTTCTGCTTTACAGGTTGATTGTCATTTTGCGCAGGAAAGCGAACGATGGAAATTGTACTTCTGGGAAATTAACCTGACGGTTTCTGCAGGCTGGAGGTGAGGGCAGCAGGCCAGGTGGAGGCTGTCATCTGGGAAGGAAGCAGCGGGAGGCGCTTGGAGGCTGGAGGGATGTGAGGTGGGGAGCGAGGGGAGTCCCGCCTTGTCCCCACCCCTGTTTGGGAAGCAGGGGACACTGGCAGGCCGCTTGGGCTGGGGCAAGTGCGTACTCTCTGAGCCTTAGCTCCCCTGCCTGGAAGGGCCCCTACCAGCTTGCTCAGTCTCCACTCAGTGAGTGTGAACTGAGATGGTTTTATTTTTTCTCCATTCATGCAGCCGCCTCTGTTAAATTTCCCTTTCTTGCCCCTCCACATCTTACTTTCTTGTTAAGTTCCTAGTCCTCCACAGTTTAAAGCTTCCATCTGAAAACTCAACTTTGCCTGCCACCTCTGTCCCCTGAGGCTGGCATGGCTGGGGCAGGGGCTCAGGGTTGGGGCTGGGCTGATGGGCTGAGCTGGAGCTGCTCCTCCCTGTCCACCTGGCGTGGACAGGACAGAGGGACAGGAGGGAGCGAGAGAGGTTGTGTCTGCCTAGCTGCCCTGTTGCTGTCTCCCGCTAAGGCTCCTTCCGGTTCCCCTGGCTCGTGCTGACCAGCTGGCCAGTGGTGACCTCCGCATAGCAGGTGCCGAAAGCTGGTGCACTTGTGGGACACATGTAGTTTGCAGAGCGCCTGTGGGGTCTCCCCACTGCTCCTGTCCCAACAGGGAGGTTCTGGCTCAGCCCTTCAGCCCCTCACTCCAACCCTGCCACCAGTCCTGGGCTGCTGGCCCCTCCCCCAGCAGCAGAGGGAGGGGGAGATGGTCCACGTCCAGCTGCCTCTGCTGGAGTCCACTGTGTCCACCCTGCTCACTGCACCACAGAGGGGGACAGGCTGCTCCACCGCCACCCTCCCTCTGCCCTGCCGTTGCCCCTTTTCTGAGTGTAGCCAGGGTTCGCCCACGTGCCACGCCTTGTGCCCTGGCACAGGATTGCATGGGGCATAAAAGCATCATGAAAGATAGTACCTGCCCTGTGGGATGGGCCGTCTCACTCCCCAGTGGGCAGAAGCCTTCCGACTCCCCTAATCTCCCTCCACAGGCTTCCTGCAGGGCGGGAGGGGCCGTGTGAGGGATGGAGTCAAAGGGCAGGGTCCACCACCATGAGTCAGCTTGAGGAGGGGTCTGGTCCCAGCTTTTGGCTCTTCTCTTTAGAACAAGCACCAGGTGGTTCCCAAGCCTGAGTCCTACTCATCCATTCAGGACACCACAAATCCCCACTTCCCCTGCTTGTGGGAATGACAGCGAGCCTGGACACAGGGCGACTGAGACCATCATGGGTGTACTTGTCGCATGTCCGGCTTTTACAGTCGTCTCAGCTCTTTCTTTGCTCATTCGACTTCTCCTTTGGAGCCCTCTGCTGAGACCCATGGTGAGTGTGGACATTTAAGATGGACGCGGAGCTGACCAGGACTGCCTGGGTGGCCTCTTGGGTACCACACAGTCACAGAAGCAGGTAATCAAAGAACAAACAGTCCTGTGGTGTTTAGTGTCTCCCTTAGTTACCATCCAAGTCTCTGTTTGAGTTCTTGCATGGCAACCAAACCAGGAGGGGAAGCTGAGTGGCGTCTGGAATAAGCCTGGGTGTGAGGTGGGGTTCAGGTCCTGGAGAATGTGCTGGAAGCACACACAGACGTGAACCATCGAGTATGCAGGAAGCAGTCACCCTCCTGGTTCTCCTGGGTGCCCTGTCAGGTAGGAAGTCCACTTTGCTTTGGAGCCTTGCTTGGCCTGAGTGGTTTGCATGGTACTGTTGTATGGCAATGTCCCCAAAGAGGAAATTGCCTCTAGGAGGCCTTGCTCAACTGTGGACTTATCTGCAGTGAGCCCTGGGGGGCTGTTAGGGGTACCCCGAGACGCTGAAAGAGCCACAGTCCAATCTTTGTGTAGACGTCACTTTCCCTCTTGTGTTAACTGGCTCACACTGGAAGTCTTTCCCAGTCTCAGGCTGGGAAAACAGCTTTCATAGCAGAACTTTGTGTGTACGTCCAATCAGTCTTTCTGGAGATTCTGGTCCTTCTCTGGAGCCTTTTGGGGCAACCTGAGGTTTGCAAGTTATCCTATGGGGAAACCGAGGCACTGAGGGGCTATTGTCTTTGTCTTGTGCAAAGCAGATGTCTTCTGAGAGAAGGGCCAAAGGTTCAACCTAGTGATTCTTACATGCCCCTTCCTCATTCAAGAGCATCAAGAGTCTTAGATGATCTTTTTAATGTTGTCAGCTTGAATTATTGAAATTGAGCTTTTTAAATTAAATTTTATTTTTGAATAGGTAATATATGCATAATGCATGGAATTTAATTATGTTAAATTTGCAGATTAATTTAGGGATAATTTACATCTTTGATGAGTTATGTGGTAAGATCCTTAGAGGAACGTCTGGTACATAGTAAACGCTTAGTAAATGTTGGTGGTTATTATTTATGATGTTACGTTTTCCTCATCCAAGAACAGAGTTCTAGATACTTGTTCAAGTCTTCATTTGCTTTCTTCAGGAGCTTTTAAAGTTTCCTTCATATAGATTGTGCACATTCTGATTGTGATTACTTCTAGTTCTTTCTTTTACTTTTTCTTTTTTTTTACACTCATAAATGGAATCTTTTCTTCCCTTGTATCTTTTAACTGATTATTGTATGACATATGGAAATTTGTTAACAAATTATCTTATTATTTGTCATGATTTTTCAGTTGATTCTCATGCATTTTCCAAATTAAAAAAGATGAACATTTATATTCTTCCCCTCCTATTCTTATAAATTCTATTTCTTTCTCTTATCTAATTGCCAGGCCTACACCTTCTGAGCATCATTGAATAATGATAATAGTGTATGTTCCTGGCTTGTTTCCCATTGTAAACTAAAAATAAAATCTTAAGCCCCCCACCAACTGAACAGACTTCCTCTTGGCCAGAAAAGCCTTAAAACTGCCTTCCCAGGCTTAAAGGGAAGGGAGGTCAGACACGCCTCCTTATGCCCCTCCCTTTTGGAGTTTAGACTAATTGCAAACTGCACCCAAGGCCATGCAAGGCAGAGGTTAAATCGTGCCTTCAGGCCATCAATTTGCTTAACAGATCACTTTGAATATACTGTGGCTTGTTCACTGATGAACAGACCCCTTTATCTTAACGCAAACATTCCTTTCTACTGACTCCAAATCTTTAGACAAAGCTTTATTTCTTTAACCAATTACAAGTCAAAGAATCTTTGAACCCATCTATAACTTGTAAGTCTGCCCCCTCCCCCAAACCCTTGGAGATGCCCAGGTTTTTCGGGCCAATTTAGTGTATACCTTCTGGGTATTGATTTATGATTTTACCTGCAACTCCTGTCTCCCTAAAATGTGTAAAACCAAAATATAACCTAACTGCCTCAGGACCTCTTACTCAAGGCTTCTTAAGTATGGCTCCCTGGGCCATTGGTCACTTACATTCAGCTCAGAATAAACCTCTTTACGTTATTAATATTTTACAGAGTTTGAGTTTTTTCCTTTAGCACCATTAAACATGATGATAGCTTTTGGTGTGAGAGAGAAATGTTTTATATGTTAAAGAGGCAGCAGCTTTTATTCTTATATTATTTAGAGTATTTCTAAGTCAAAATGGATTTTTCAATCAAATGCTTTTTGAAGATTTATGGAAATGACCATTTAATTTTCCTCTTTGACCTGCTAATAAGAGAAGTAAACAACTGGGTTTCCTAATATTGAGCCCTCTTCCATCTTGGACTTTTAGACTTGGCAGGAGGAACTGTCGATGTGAAGTGGGCCTTGAATGGTTCAGACTCTCACTTGAGGGAAACATTTGAGATTTTTCCCAGAAATATGGGCTTTTAGGACCATAATCATTTGAGTTGAGGTGATATTTATTGTCACTGGGGAGAGAGTGAGGTTAGGAAGAACCCAATTTCTCATACTGAACACTATCATTTGGAACTTTATCATCAGATGTATGACAAGAACAGATCACAAAGGTTTGCAAGAAATACTTGAGATTTCTTATTTTAAAGAAAAAAAAAGCACATTTGAATCTCGCCTTCCCCCAAAGACCATGCACACTGTACCATGCTTTTGCTCCCATAGGTCAAATCCTACTTTTCAGAAGGGCTGCTGTGATGCAGACTGTTTCTCTCTCACCCTCTTTTGTGAGTCTGAGAACCTGGTCATTACCGTCACTCTCCAACACCAGGCTTACAGAGGACTCCAGTGGGGGCAGCCACACTAGCACCTGCCTTCAGGGTGTTAGAAGCAGACATCACCACAATAATCTCAGATAAAGTAACATATTCACAATATCCTCTTCCTTTTCATTTTGTCTAACTCTTACTCTTCCTTCAAAGCCCAACTCAAGCCCCACCTCCTCCATGGAGACTTCCTGGATTGATCTAGCTCTTGACGAGCCCTCTTCGTGTTGCACCTGGTAGCTCCTCTTGCCTGCACGTGGACTGCATGCCAAGAGCTTAGTACAATGCCTAACAAGTGCTCAGCCAAAAGTAGTAAGAGTTATCATACCATAATTCATCTGTGATGTCTGTTATGTCTCCTCAACTAGAATGTCAGCCCTGCAATAATAGGCTTCATATCTCCTGTTGCTCTCTTACCCCTGAGTGCCACATACATAGAGCGTATCCAGTACATATTTGTTGTTTTTGTTGATCGTCATCCCTCTTTGAGACTGGTGGGCTTTCTTCCCACCACCTACATTTACTGATACTCTGGAAATGCAGGGCTTCCTGCTTAATATTGGCATTTAAATTAGCTACCATCCTCCCACCTCCTATGAAGATGAGGAAAACGAGTTTCTCTTTGTGACGGAATAGTGTCCCTTTCCAACAATGACTTACAAAGGAAGGCCCCACAAGAACATAAACTAGACAAAATTCTCAACTGTGCCAGGGGAAAAGAGCTGAGACAAAATAGTTTTCTGGCTCCATCAGCACCAAAGGATCCTGTGTAATTCCCAGAAGATGCAAGACCTAGCAAAGGTATATTTAAATCCACTGTACACAAAAGTTGCCTATGTTTTGAGAAAGCCTCTAGGGAACTAGCTTTTGTATTATTTTCATAGAAATGAAAAATGCCAAGGTGCTTAACGAAAGAAGGGTTCTGTGGGAGCTGGAAGATCCACACGAACATTCAAAGGTATACACTGTGGAAACTAAAGAAATAGGAAGACATTGCATATACCGAAACAACATTTGATAATGCTTTATAGTTTATCAAGTATATGCATTTTCTTATATGCTACCTGTTCTGTGAGAGTGAGTTCCCATAGGCTTGGTATTAGCCTCAGTTGTCTTGCTCATTCCTGCATGAAACATGTTGATTAACAGTGTTGCTTTGTAACCATGGGTCTTAGAAGTTTCCAAATGGTTTGTACCAGCTTGCAAGCATTTCTTATTGATAACAGTGAGATTGATGATTTCCACCTGGTCTCCATGTGGACCTCGATGGGCTTTACCGCTGAGGCTGATTATATAGCAAGAATGTGCCTACAGAAAAAAAGAAAAAAATTCCAGCAGATATTCCATTGTTCCAAGGAATTTGTGCATATGTTGGTGGGTCCTGATCCAAGTAAGTGCATCCTGCCATCCTTTAGAGAAAAGAGGACAACAAGAGCCTGCACTTGGCCTCTGCAGAGGCCGCCTTCAGCTGTCACGCATATCCTTGCCTTAATTTTGTTGCTATACTATACCTTTTTTCTGTACTAAAAGTATAGATTCGTAAGCATTGTCATTTAGGTCCTGTGAGTCTTCTTTATCAATAGAACCCCATTAAACAGCCACTGTTAATGTAGCACCTCAGCCCCGAGAGATGGAGTTGGCAGGGATCCCCAAATTAGTCAAGGGACCCACCCAAGGTCACACAGTCAAGTAATAGCAAAGCTAAAGCTTGAGGCAAGGGCTCTAATGCCAGATGCCTTGCTCTTTTCACAGCACTCCGATGTCTTTCATTACTGTTCTGATTAGGTACTAGAGCGAGTGAAGAGGTATTACTGAGTGATGTCTCAGGTGGGTCCTGTTTGTGCATTGAAAGCAGAGCTGTAAGGTCGAGCAGATGGCATCACCCCACACCCTGGACCCACATCACCACTTTGGTGTCAGAGGCCCAGGGTGGCCAGCTTCCTCCCCTCTAACTGAGGCTGGGGAGGCCTTAATCATCCCAACGCAGGATTCCCAGGGCAGGCTCCACTGGTCCATTGCTGGAAAGGCAGTGATTCAAGGGAAACGTGCGAGCACATCATGCATCCAGTTCTCAACCACAAGTAAGATGTGTCCGTGGGCTTTGTGACTGATACTAAATCTTTTGCTTGCTTTTTCTCTTTCAAAGTGTGTGCTCCAAGCAATTCTAATTTAATTCTTAATTAAGATGCATGTGTAAGTCAAATTCGATTAAAGCCTCCTTCCTGCTCTCTAGCACTCAGACCACCAAGAAAGCCTGGAAGACCAGCCTGGGAAGGAAATCACACAGTGTCGTAGGGAGAGCCACCTGGGCCTCTAGCCTTCCCTGCGCCGCTGATCAGCTGGGTGCCTTTGCGCACAGCACTTAAACTCATCTGTATAGCAAATGGGTTGAACACTTTGTGAATAGTGTATTTTATTAATTGCTCTATTTTTAGGGTGTGACCTTAGACACTTATTATTATTGCTATTACTACTGCTACTACTACTACTATTACTACTCCCTTTTTAATAGCAAGGAAGCTGGAAGAAGAGGGTATTGAACTAACATCAGGAGAGCTCAGGTTGGCTGCCCATTTTTATCATTACCTCCAGGGTGTCTGCTTTAAAGTTTTTAGGATTCAATAGCATGGCCCTGGCACACATGGCCCTATCCTGGGAGGAGAGACCACCAGAAGAAGAGAGAAATTTCCAGCAAGACTCTCAGCAGAAAGACCATTGCCAAAGACAGTCTGGCTTCAGCCATATATGGAGCTGGCAGTTCCCAATGCAATTTTCTTGAGCGGCACTGGATATATCCACTTCTTCTAAAATATCTCCCCAAAATGTGACCATTCAAGGAGGACTATGAGAAGCTCTATAAATTAAGGAGGCAGCCTGGAGCTGTCCCAGGAGTCAGATGCCTTGGACTGGAATGCTGGATCTTTCATGGAATTAGTCTCTCAGACCCAAGTCTTATCAAATTTATATGATCGATTCAACAAATCAATGGATACACTCCCTGCAGAGCGAGCTAGGAGCTGTATTGTTGTAGGCAATATTTGGGGAGCACAGCTTCTCTAGACTCCCCAGTTCTCCAAAAGAGATGCACTAAGGTTGGGGGCACAGTGATCTGCCCATTCAGGGTGAGGTTATGGAAAGCCCTGTGCCACCTCCAGTTCATATTATAGCACAACTCTTTACATTGTTCCTCAAACAGCCTCTTACAGATCACGTCATCCAGATCCAACATCTGGGTTCCGGGTCCGATTTCTTACCAGCCCCCAGAGCCATGTAGCTGCAGTGTCCCCAGGTCCTAGATAATGGAGATGCATCACACATGCATGGTCGTGTGACAGGCATAGGGCAACTGCCTGCCTGCAGCAGGTGTGTGCAGTCTGTTACCTGAAAGATCCAGATGCAGCCAGCCAGGGCCCACCATGGCCTCTGGCTGACTGCATGATCTTAGGTGTGTGATGTGGCGACAGCAATGCTACATTGTAGGATTGTGCTGGGAGTCAGTGGGATGAAGCAGCTCGTGCAATGCCTGGCGAGGAGGTGCTTGGTAAATGCAAGTGGTTGCTTATTTTAGCTGATTCATTTGGGCTGGGCACTACCTTATCCCAGGCTACTCTTGAGGAAAACATAGCAAGTGCTATCTTTATCTTTGCTTCTTGACTGGAGGGGCGCAAGTCCCTGGGCAGTGGGGGAGAGCAAGGGGAAGAGTATGAGTGAGAAGCTGGGGTCCTGCGAAACAAGCCGCCAACCTTTCATTTCTCGTATGGCTGTCCCGGGAGGAAACACTCTCGTGAACAGTGCAGGGGGTGCCTGGTGACTGTCACTTGTGGGGAGAGAGCACGTGAAAGGAGGTATGCCTACAACACCCAACCCATGAGAACCACAGATTATTTTGTTCATTTCGAAAAACTATTCGGGGGAGCTTTTCATCTCTAAATATTCCAAGCATACTATTGTGCTCCTGGTTTTTAATCACAAAAATGCTATAATATTAAAGTCAATTTTAATAGATTAAAAAAGTTTATTCCTATTCACATCATCCAAAACTTCAGCTGTTTTGTATTTCTGAGTCCTTGCACAGTCCTTGTCCATAGAACTTGATAATTCTACGAGCAACAATAACTTATGCATTATGCATTTTAGTCTCTAAACGAAATAAGGTGATTTTAGATTTATAAAAGCTTGCATCAGTGAATGTGATTATATTTCAATTTTTCCCACATTTCCATGTACTCCTCTGCACTTCCCCCCTAACTGAAATAAAAACATCTTCCCACAATGGCCTGTTTGTTTCTAGAAATGTTATGCCTTTCAGTAGGACAGGTCCCTCTGCTGTCCCTATCCACCCCTGCGCCTCCTACTTTTCCAGGTTTTGTCCCCAGTGGCCGATGGTGGCCAAGATTGGGAAACTGGCTAGGAAGGAGGGCCTTCGTGTCAGTCGTGGCTCTGTTATCTACTTTTTGTTGTATTTCTTTCAGCTCATTTTCCTCGTCTGTAAAATGATATCATTGATACCTATCTGAGAGGTTGTTTGAAGAGTAAATAAGACAAAGGATTTCACATTATGCACTTACTTGAAACATGGGATAAATGGTCATTGTATTAGTCTCCAATATGATAGTCTTGTATTAGGGTTGCTGTACCACCGTTGGTGGCTTAAAGCAACAGCATATCACTGTCTCACAGGACAGGAGACCAGAGTCTGAAATCAAGGTGATGGCAGGGTTGGCTCCTCCTGGAGGCTCTGAGGGGAAATCTGCTCCTCGCGTCCCTGCTATCTTCCGGTGGTCGCGTGCCATTCCTTGGCTTGTGGCTGCATCTCTCCAACCTCTGCCTCTGTTATTTCATGGCCTTCTTCCCTCGTGTGTGTCCTGTCTTCTTCTTATGAGGACACCAGTTACTGGATTTTGGGCCCCCCCAATCCAGTGTGACCTCCTCTCAACTAATTATACTTGCAAGGTACGTTCTGCAGTTCTTGGTGAACGTGAATCTTTTGGGGACACTATTCAATCCACTACAGTAACCATCATTATAGAAGCATGAGAGAACATGGTGTGTTGCTCTCCTCCGTACTAGCAAAGTCTCGCAGTGTGTCCCGGAGACCTTAGAGCGGTCCCAGGGCTTTCCTGGAAGAAACACACTTCCTCCTAAATTGCAAAATTCCCTGTCTGCAGTGCAGCCCAACGTGCCCTCTCTGAGTCTCCTGTTTCCTCCTCTGTGAAACAGGAGTTCATTTATCAACCAAGAAGTACTGACTGACCTTCCACAGAATGCCCATAGCATCCAATAATAGCAAATAATTGTCCCTGAGATTGCTAGTGGGCACGGGAGATCGACCGTGACTTTGGAGTTCTCCCGTCATGCACACTCAATTTCAGAGGACTTCCTGGATCAAACACTGACACAGGGAAGCAAAACAAACTCTTGCAAACTGCTGGGCCTTTGCAAGAGAGAGGATGTCATTACCAAACTAGGTCCTTCGAGTTGGTTTTGGCTCCTAAGGTGTCACATTTCTCTTTCCCTGGCTCTTCACAAAGCCTGGGAGAAAAGAGAACGGAAGCAGGGGACAGGAAAAGGCAGCAGCTTTATTTACTGAGTGACAGAAGCAGATTGCGTGGTGGTTTGGTGGTGTTTGTTTTCTTGGCCCCCAGAAGGTCTCACATGCCCAATTTCAGCACTTGGCAGGAGCGTTTGTTCTTGGGGAGTGACCGGGTCCCCTCGTTGCCCTGAGCCACGAATTAAAGCCACAGACCAAGCTGTTGAGTTCCTGTTCCCAGCAGAAGGCTCTGTGTTCATGTTGTTTTGCATCCTTTTTAAATCCACAGGTCGAGAGGCGCTATACCTAACCCAGTTACCGGCTACAGGCAACGTGGCAGAGAATTCTCCACCTGAGACGTCAGTGCACAAGTTTTCTGTGAATTTATCAGCATCACTGTCACCTGTGATCCCCGGGTTTCCCCTGATAATCAACTCAAGTCCCCTCACGGAAGCCTTCAGGGTCAATCGGCTGTCAGGCACTGATTTCGAGGTAAGCAGCCTCTTACCCTCTGCGGGAGTTGTCCGCAAAGACGTAATCCTGAGAATGGGGTAGGTGAGATTCTAGATCAGTGACAATTCCTCCCCTGTCTCTAGTTTAATCTTCCTTCTTGTAAGATCCAGGAGTTCTGTTTGAGGCATCCCAGAGCCCTCTGTGGTAGATGCCACTGTAGTCTCTGGCCCTTTCCCACTTAATACCGTCCACGTGAACCTTATGCTCAATTTGCACAAATAGAAGCCTGTTTCTTATTGCTGACAACCCTCACAGGCGTTAGTGTGCATTCAGCACTAAAGCCTTTTGGGTGGGGTAACTTGGTATTGGTCTCCTTCCAGAGCCATGCCCTCACGAACTTGTGTCTGGTGCCTGCTTTTCTGCGATGCTGTGACTTTTCAGAAGGAAATCTAAGAGGAGACACTTAAAGGAAGACTGGCTCCCTTTAATAAAAATATAAGTCGAAATGTCCAGGCCTACTGTTTGAATGTTTCCTCTTGGATGATTCAGACTTGATCATGGACATTCAAGAGCCATGCCACCGCTGCTCTGTTTTCTTGTCATATGAGTCTTTCCCAAAGTTGTCACTTCCCCAGGGAAAGGACAAACCCACTCATTGCATGTTTCCTGCTGGGCACCTCAGAAGTCTTCTAAGCATGCCTTCAGGGTCCAGGTGTCTGGACCTACCTTTACTTTGGCATCTCCCACCCTCACCCCTTCCTCAACTGGCCTAGGACCTCCTGAAGTTCTCACCAGCCCTGCCACTGTGCCGCCTACCATCCCCGCGGGTCCTTGTGGGGCCCAGTGGGCTCAGGCCTGCTTGGTCTCGGCTCTCTTGCTTCTCTGAGGTTCATACTAGTTGTTCTTAAACCTGGCTCATCATTACAGTCACTAGGGCAGCTTTTACAAAGTGTGCATATCTGGACCCTATGGGAGACCCAAGGAACCCACAGCTCGAGGCTACAGCCCCGGTGTCTCGTGTTCTCATCACCCCAGGGTGGGCCCTCAGCTATGCAAGGAGCACACACTCAGTCTCCATCTCGGCATCTGGGTGACATTCCCAGACCCCAGATGCTGCTTCTGTGACTTAACTGTGCTGTCTACCTACTTCCTTGACATTGGGCTTGTCTTTACCAACTGCTGCTCATATCCTATCAGCCCTGCTGAGTGTTTGCCCTTACAGAGCACCTTGTGTATGCTGGATGGAAGGACTTTGCATGTCTTTGCTCTTATAATCTTCAAATCACAAGGATTGTTTCTTCTTACTCATGGGGAAAATGAAACACAGAGAGGTTAAGCACTTTGCTCTAGGTTGCACAGCTAGTAGGTAGCTGAGCTTAGAACCCAGGCAGTATGGCTTCAAAGCTCTCATTTTTAAAAACTACTTTATTTGGATATAATTCATAGAGCATATAATCTCTTAAATTGTATAATTCAGTGGGTTTTATTATGTTCACAGAGTTGTACAATCTAATTTTAGAACATTTTCATCACCCCCAAATAAAATCCTGTATCCGTTAGCAATCACTCCCCTATTTCTTTATCCCCCTAGTCCCTGGCAACCAAAAATCTACTTTCTGTCTTTATGGATTTGCCTGTTCTGGACATTTCACATGAATGGAATTGTATGCTATGTGGTCTTTAGTGACTGGCTTCTTGCACTGAGCATAAAGTTTCAGGCATCACCTGTGTTGCCTATATCAGCCCTTTATTCCTTTTTATGGCTGAATAATATTTCACTGTGTGGATATACACATTTGGCTCATCCGTGCATCAGTTGGCAGGCATTTGGGTTGTTTCCACTTGGGAGTTCTCATTCCCAGCGCTGCCTTTGATGGTGAGGATGATGTGCCCCTTTGAATTTGCATAGTGGCTCCTAAGCACATTCACATACCTGATCTCCTGATTGTTACAGCTAACACCAATATTATCGCTATTAGAATTTTTTATTCCTATTTCAGATATAAGATAACAGAGAGACTGAGAGATTTGTCCACATAGGCATAAAAGATGAAATAAGAACTTAACTCAGTTATTTATTAACTGAGTTAAGTTATAACTTAACTTATTTCCAACCCCAGATTTTCTCCTTATTGCTGTGCTCGTCTGTTGCAGTTTTGGTGAGCTCCCAAATCTTTCTTCATGGGACCTGCCCTTCCCACATTCCATGTGACTCAAACAGGGCTGTCAGTCAAGGAAGAATTTCATTTTGTCTTAGCCCCTCAACTAATCTAGGCTCAAGTATTTGGTGTATTGCCTCAGTCCTGTGTTCTCCTGAGACCATAGCAGGCAGCTGCCCAGGATCCTGTGTTGGTACTGGGACAGGCCACAGTTTCACAAGTCCCAATGCTGTCCTTAAGAATTGGTTGTTGGTAGATGCTACCTAGGCACCTAAAAAAAAAAAAAACAGAAAAAGAAAAAGAATTGGTTGTTGGCTAAGAGTAGTGGCTCATGCCTGTAATTCCAGCACTTTGAGAGCCCAAGATGGGAGGATTGCTTGAGGCCAGGAGTTCGAGACTAGCCTGGGCAACATAGCAAGACCTTGCCTCTAAAAAAATTTTTTTTTAAATTACCAGTCTGTGGTGGCACATGCCTATAGTTCTAGCTACTTGGTGAGGCTAAGGTGGGAGGATTGCTTGAGCCTAGGAGTTTGAGGCTGCAGTGAGCTGTGATCATGCCACTGCCCTCCAGCCTGGGTGATAGAGTGAGACCTTGTCTAAATAAATAAATAAAAGAATTGGTTGCTTCTTCCCAGAAACTGCCCAACATTATGAACCATCCCTCCAAGAAGATCCTACTTTTCAACCCAAACTGCTCACAAGAGCCACTCCTGCTGCCTTCTGAACATGACAGTATCTGTGGCAGAACCTGGCTCCTTCTTGGGTAGCCTTGACACTCTGGTCGATGGCAAGTCTGGAGATGAAGTTGTTGGCCCTCTGAGCCAGAGGTCAGGTCATTGTTGGCCTTGTGACTCAGTTGTGCTTTCTGAGGGTGAGCTCCAGATCATGCAAGAGGCCGGGCTTTGGAACACAGCTGCTGAGACTTTGGGGGTGGTGGTGGTGAGGAGGAGGATTAATAGTAGTGATGATGATAATAACTCATATTTACGGAGGATTTACCATATGCCAGGAATTCCCCTAAACATTTTGTGAATTCATTTATTCAACCCCCAAACAACACTATGAAGTGCTTTACTGTTACTCTTTGAATAGTAAGGGTGGGAACACTGAGTCACGGGGGGGTTGGGCAAGTCTCCCAAGTTCACACAGCTAGGAGAGGGCAGACTGGAGAGCTGTGATCAGGCAGGCTGGCCCCAAGCGTCCTCGTTCGTCACCCCTGCGCTGTGTGGTTTGTACCGCCCAGCACGAGAGATGTCAGAGCCTCAGTCAGCCACTGTCAGAGCACCAGGCAGGAAGCTCTGAGAGTCAGGGAGGAGAGTGGGCCTGAGCACCCGGCAGCTGTGCAGAGAGGCGCTCTCCGAGGTCCTCTGCAGGCCGCTGTCTGCCCCTCTTTCACCTGCCCATCTTGGAGTCTGACTCCCCTCTTTTCCCATTTACTGCCGTGAACACTGTGCTAATTTGCTCAGTCTTGTCCTGAACAACCTCAAACTTAACTTGCCTAAGGCCAAACTTAACTGTCTTTCACCCAAACTCAGCAGCCAGATTGCCTGCAACCAAATGGAGGCTCCACCACTCCCAGCTGTGACCTCAGGCGAGTTCCTTCCCTTCCCTGTCCTAGTTAGTCTCCTTATATGTGAAATGAGGGAAGGTTTATCAGCCTAGGCTCATGGTGATGATTAAATGAAATACTTCCCAAGATGGCTTGCCAAGAGTCTGGTATGTGCCATTTAATAAATGCTGGTGAGAACAGCGACAAAAACAATTTTTCTATTTTTGTTGATTGCAACCCAATTCTTTTGGTTCAAGATATAACATTTTGGGGCCATTTTTTGGACTGTTCGATTTCTTTTCTCTAGGGTGTTAGAGCTAGTTCCCAAGGAGAGGGTGCTGGCAATTGGTAATATTGAGGCAAAGGATCTATCCTTGCAGGAGGGGCTCCAGGCTTAGTAGGAAGCTAGGGCATCAATCAGGAAACAGAGGGGACCATCTCTCCCGAAGTCCACCTGCTCTGGTGGACATCCACTCCTTAAACGGTTCTCGACTGCCTAGTGGTAACAGAAGTCACTATTTGCAGAGTGCCTTCTCAGTGCCAGAAAGTGTTCTAAGTATTTTCCACATATTAGCTCATTTAATCATCGAGACAACTCTATAAAGAAGGTGTTATCACCCCCATTTTACAGATGGGAAAACTGAGGCACAGAAATGTTAAGTCACGAGAAGCCTGGGCCTGGAAGGCAGTCAGTCTGGCTCCGGGGTCTATGCTCTCGACCCCTGTGTCTGCTGCCTCTCACCTGCCCCGTGCGGAGCATGGAGACTGGGCCACCTCCCTTCGTGCGGCTCCCAGGCTGACCCTGTCCCCTAGCAGGCACAAGACCACCTCTTCCTCTGCTCAACCCTCCTGCACGGTTTCTCTCTCCACTGCGTGTACTCGTGCGTGTCTGTGGCTGTCTTCTCTTCTCTTCACTAATCTAGAACTTGCAAAGTCAAACGGCACCTACTACCTCCTCCATGAAGCCTTCCCCAACTACACACAGCTCACAGTGGACTTTTCTCCCCATGATTTTAGTACTCTGACGTAGCTTTTTGTTAGAATAACTTGTATTATACTTCAGCTGTTTAACGAAGGCAGGAATAATTTTCCTAATGACAATCACTTGGAGACAAGATCAGGCAAGGTAAGGTGATTTTCCCAAGGTCACTCAGAAGGGGTGATTTTCCCAAGGTCAGTGATTGGAAACAGGTCTGTCTGGAGCCACATGCTCTCTTCACTGTAGGATGCTGGACATCCCAGCGCCTGGCCCAGTTGTATTAATAACCAAAAGGGTCTATTAGCATAACTGAGGACATATGAGATTTAGTCCTTGATGTCCCAAAGGACTCTGGGCCTTCAGTGGGTTGCAGGGGCTAAGCTGGTGGCAGTGGAGGTGTCTACAGATGTGAGAGGTCGGCCGGGCGCAGTGGCTCACTCCTGTAATCCTAGCACTCTGGGAGGCTGAGGCAGGGGGATTGCTCGAGGTCAGGAGTTCGAAACTAGCCTGAGCAAGAGCAAGACCCCGTCTCTAATTATAAATAGAAATTAATTGGCCAACTAATATATATAGAAAAAATTAGCTGGGCATGGTGGCACATGCCTGTAGTCTCAGCTACTCGGGAGGCTGAGGCAGGAGGATTGCTTGAGCCCAGGAGTTTGAGGTTGCTGTGAGCTAGGCTGACGCCACGGCACTCACTCTAGCCTGGGCAACAAAGCAACACTCTGTCTCAAAAAAAAAAAAAAAAAAAAAAACAGATGTGAGAGGTCACAGGCTGGCCTCTGGGTAGCTTCAGCAGGACCTTCCACCAGGGGCCACTGGTGTTCCCGCTGTCAACAGCTCTAGATTCTGGTGACGTCTCTCTGGCCTTGGTTCTTAGTGTCTCTCTCCTACATCTCTAAAATACAGTGCAGAGGACAAAACCTCCCGACAATGGAAGAATATGTGGAAAGGCACAAAAAAGTGAACAGTCTGTTGATTAAGTAAACACCATTCCTTATTTATGCAGATGTATCCTTCTTCTCCTGTTCATTCTTGGGCATGGCCTGGAGAAAATCAGAATGGAGTAATTTGGCAATCCCAGGGAAGCACAGCATCCTTTCCTAACAATGAGAAAATCCAACTACATCCAGGGTGGCCAAGGGACTTTCCCAGGAGCCTAGCCCCAAGTAGTGACAAGTTTTTCAATTCCATCTCCAGCCAGCTGCAAAGGGTGTCTCCTGAATATATTTCTTTCCTATGAAAAGCAGCCTCCCGTGCAGTCCCTTTAGTGCAGCGGCACAGGGCTTATGCTGGGAGGACAGTGAATGGAAGATGGTCTCCAGGATGCTGGTTGCTTCCTTCTAGAAATAATCCCTTTGCAAAACGCATGCATACAAAACAGATCTTCTTTCCCGTGGTTACTAACAGTTCTGCATTTTGTTTTAGGTTGTCACCACTGGGAAGGAGCAACTAGATTTTGAAACAGGACCAAACATATTTGACTTGCAGATTTATGTTAAGGATGACGTTGGTGTCACAGACCTGCAGGTCCTGACTGTCCAGGTGACAGATGTGAACGAGCCACCTCAGTTTCAAGGCAACTTGGCGCAAGGTAAAATGCAGCCGGGTGTGCACTGGGGCCCAGACGGTGGCGTCAGGGAGGGCCCTGGGGAACAGAGAAAAACAGAAAAAGTAAATAAACAAGCATCTGTTTCCCTGGAAAAGGCAGCTGCTTAATGAGCAGGGAATAAATGAAATGTCCTCCAGCTCAGCACTCTCAATAATCATGTCCAATGCTTCGCAAAGCCCTTCACTTCTGTGGTTCCTTGTGGTCCCCTCCAGTCTTACGGAGGAAACTGAGGCTCCGCGACCTCAAGTGAATCGTTCTGAAGGAACCTGGGCTGAGCCCATCATAGGCCCAGCAGGTGTACTGTGGTCATTGGCTGACTCATTCATTCTCCCCGTGGGCTCTGACTCCTTGAGGGCGGTCAGGTCCCCCTGCACAGCACAGGGACAACATAAGCATAGAGTAGCTTCCTATGTGATCTCACTCGAGCTCATGGCTTGGAACACATCCTGTAGTGAAAACCCCCACGTCTATCGTTTTGGTTCAACCCTAGCATTTCATGAGTTCCTATAAATGGAAAGTTGGCCAGTGTCTTACTCATGGCTTTTATGATTGCTTCCCTCTGTCCCACAATACCAACACACTTGGTTCCCTTTGGTTGAGTATGACCTGCCTGATTTTGGAATTCCCTTTTTGCTTTCTCTAATAAAATGTTCCTTATTCCACTTTGGACACTGGTGTAGGTCTAGACCTGTACGTAGTAGAAGGAGCGAACCCTGGATTCATATACCAGGTTGAGGCCTTCGATCCGGAAGACACAAGCAGAAACACACCACTCAGTGTAAGTGTCCTTGTCATACTGAAGAGGCGCTTGTTCATGTTGGCTTTGAGACGGAAGCCCCGTGTCCTGAGTCTCGGCGGGGCGGGTTTGGGTGGTGGCAATCGGGGACTATACAGTCCACGTCCAAACCACAGGGTACAGGCGATGGTTGGAATGGGTAAGCTGGCTCCGGGGACAGACACCCCAGGTGGGATTTGTGGCTCTGTGTGATCTGGGACAAGTTCGTAACCTCTCTGAACTTTGATTTCTTCATCTGTAAAACAGGAAGAATAATGGCACCTGCCACAGGAGGGGGATTGTGAGTATTAAAAAGATAACACATATAAAACGACTTAGCACAGTGCTGGGCATATCAAAACTGCTCAATATTTTAAAAATCTAAGCTGATACAAATCCACTTATATTATTTTAAAAGTAAGCATAAATTGTATACCCCAGAGCCAAGCATTAACATATCTTTCTCAAGAGATAAAGCCAAGCTACCTCGAATCAAGTTTTAAAAAAATGTCATCTTAGTTCACTGCAACCTCAAACTCCTGGGCTCAAGGGATCTCCTGCCTGTGGCTGGGACTACAGGTGTGCATCATCACACCCAGCTAATTTTTCTATTTTTTTTGGTAGAAATGGGGTCTCACTCTTGCTCAGGCTGGTCTTTTTTTTTTTTTTTTTTTTTTTTTTTTTTTTTTTTGAGACAGAGTCTTGCTTTGTTGCCCAGGCTAGAGTGAGTGCCATGGCGTCAGCCTAGCTCACAGCAACCTCAAACTCCTGGCTCAAGCAATCCTCCTGCCTCAGCCTCCCAAGTAGCTGGGACTACAGGCATTCGCCACCATGCTAGGCTAATTTTTTGTATATATTAGTTGGCCAATTAATTTCTATCTATTTATAGTAGAGACGGGGTCTTGCTCTTGCTCAGGCTGGTTTCGAACTCCTGACCTTGAGCAATCCGCCCGCCTCGGCCTCCCAGAGAGCTAGAATTACAGGCGTGAGCCACCGCGCCTCGCCTTGGTCTTGAACTCCTGAGATTAAGGGATCCTCCTGCCAGCCTCCCAGAGTGCTAGGATCATGGGCATGAGCCACCACACCTGGCCTCTTCTCTCCCATTCTACCCAGTTTCCGTAAGGGAACTATCGCGGGGGCTATTGTAACCACCAACCCTCAGGGGAAGCCTCTTAGCTCGTCCCAGGCACCCAGGCACGGCTGCCGCAGCTCCTAGCGCTGCCCACCAGCGCGCCCCCTGTGTACACTGCAGCTGGGGAACCCGGCTTGGAGAGAAAAAACGGAAGCAAATCCCACCAGACTAACCTTGGAGCAGGCAACACGCCCGCCACTCCTGCCTGACAGAGAACAGAATCCTTGAAATATGACACTCAGGGAATTGGTAACACCAGGAGGCTGTTTCTGCTGTTTGCTGCATGATTTGCAGCTTCAGCAGGACTGCTTTTTCTAACAGGAGCACGTAAGCCTTGGGAACAAACTCCGGCACCAATATATATAGTGTACAGGTCTGAAACAAACCTATTATAAGATTATTGGGCACAATTTGAAGTAAAGGAATAGTCTGTTTTTATTAGAAGATGATCCTTCTGTGCAAGTGAAAATTCTTTCATTCATTCACTCATTCATTCAAGATTCATTCATGTCAATATTTACATGGCTATCACAAGTGTTTGGATAGTCATTCACTATGGGTGTCTACTATGTGCCAAGAGCAATACTAGGTGCTTTAAATGCATATTTATTAATAACATTCTTGTGATACCAGTTAGGAAATGTGTTTGTCTGCAAATTACATAAAACTTAACCCCAGTGGTAGATATGGGATTTCTTTTTCTTCCATAACAAGATGTCTAGAGGCAGGCAGGCAGTTCAGCATTGGTGCAGCTGCTACTACCATCAGGAGCCTGGGCTCTTCCTATGTTTCTTCTCTTCCATCCAGAGCATGTATGTTGGCTTTGTCCTCTTTTTCTCACCTCATGGTTGCAAGATGGCTGCTGCACTGCCAGGCTTCACTTCTGAGTTCCATGCAAGAAGAAGAAAGAAGGAAGTAGGAAGGGAAAGTGGGTAGGCCCACTCTGTCCCTTTTTTAGCAGGAAAACAAAAACTCTTTTGGGAGAGTCCAACCCAGAGGATTTTTACTACATCTCACTGGCCAGGACTGTGCCCTACGGCCACTGTTGTTTGAAGGTGACCAGGGGAAAAGGGATCCTAAATGGAGATTAGGTCAGCCACCCCAAGTATGGTCCCTCACTTAGGTATTTAGTTCATTTCAACATTTACCCAGAATGACTGTATGAATTCTATTAGATACTTTGGATACAGAGAGGAGTAGGACACATTGACTTTAAGAAATACACAGTCTGGATGGGAGACATTCATGTGTAGGGGAAACAAGTAATATCTTTTCTTCACAGGCTGTAAGGTTTACAGCTGACACCCCTTTAACAAAAGACAGATTATCAAGAGAAAAGCATAACAAATTTATTTAACCAAAGTTTTTACATGACACAGAAGGCTTCAGAAATGAAGATGCAAAGATCCAGGGAAAACTGTATTTTTATGCTTAGGTTCAAGGAAGAATGGGCAGTTGTGTAGAAGTATGATTGGACAAAAAGAGGGTGTGATCTAGTGGTAATAAACTTAGCAAGGCCTGTTTATTCAGATTCTTCTTGGCTTTCAGGTATAGGGTAGGACCCCTCTGGAATGAGGGTCTTATGACCTACTTTCAGGCAAGGTAGGTCAGGGAATTCCTTTGCGATCATGCTTTAGGGAAGAAAGTTGGAAGAAGATCAGAGTGACCTTCTTGCTTCTGAGGTTTTCTCAATTGCCAGCATGCCATATTTTGGGGTGTCGGGTTATGATCTCCAACACATGCATACATTAAATAACTATAATTCAACATGATAGTTACTGTAAACTTTGTACAAGATGCAGTGGGGGCAAAGTGGAAGGAATCTCAGTTGTGAAGACAAATATATATTTATTTCTTAAATCTCTCTCTCTAAATTATGCAGACCGAATAAGGTCATGGCCCCTGTAAAAACACCGCATAGATCAGGTTGTTGCCCTTTCAGATGAAGAAAAACAGCCCAGGTGGGCAGCAACTGCAGCAGGTGTTGCTCACTTTAAAAAAAAAAATGTAGTGCCATGCAAAGGGTTCTGAGAGCAGCTGCGGGGGCTTGGAACCAGTGGCTGGAACTGTGGCTTCTGCAGTGAGTTTGGGGGCTGTTCGGGGAGGGGGTATTCAGAGTTGGAGCAGAAAGTGCTCATGAAGGGTTCAACACCTGTGCTGGAACTAACAGCTGTACAGAAAGGCAGCAGCCCGCCTGCAGGAGCCGAGAACACGATCTGGAGTGAACCTTTCCCAGACTAGAAAAGGGTAACGGCGATGCAGGAAGTAACATATTATGGCCTTTGTACTTAGACATTTTATTCTGGATGCTTGGGGGTACTGTGTGGGGATAAGTGATCTGTAAAAGTAGAAAGGAGATAGGTTAATTTGTTATTGACCAAACCAACTATTGCATAAACAAGGACTGACTTTAATAAATCAAACACCAAAGCCTGTAGCGACCTACGCTTGGTTCGTGCTAGTCGCCTTAATCTGGTGGCCTCCATGACCTTGCCAATGGTAGCAACCTGAGAATGAAGAAGGACGGATTTAAAAAATAGCTCTAGGACATGTCCTGAAACCCCAACTCCTTTAAAATGACAACCTTCTCCAGTTCAATGAAGTGAAACGGTGTCATAGAGAATGTAAAATAGGGGCTAATCCAGAAACCACTGGTATTTACTCCCCCCTTTTAGAAGACCATTAAGAAGCATGTGGTCGGACATTGTTTGGACCAACACCGTTCAATACTGGACCAGCACTGTCCAGCAGAGCTAGACGGTGAGCCAGATATGAGTGCTGCGTGTGGAATTTTAAATGTTCTAGTAGCCACATTGAAAGTAAAACAAGTGAAATTAAGCTCGGTATATCCAAAATACTATTTCAACATGTAATCAACATAAAATGATTAATGAGATGTTTTACACTCTTTTTCTCCATACAAAGTCCGTTCAGACCAGCCACATGTCAGTGCTTGAGTCACACGGCCACGAGGCTAGTGGCCCCTGTCCTGGCCAGGCACAGGCTTAGATCTAGCCCTGGTGTCCCCTGCCTGGGCACCTTCTGTGTTGTGAGGGCAACACGGGGCAGCAGGGGCCCAGAGGTGTGCGTCCATAGTGGGCTCAGAGCATACAGAAGGATTATCTGCACAGGAATGATTGCATTTGCTGGCATTTCTTCTCTGGGCGTCCCCACACCTTCTCCACCTCCTGAAGGAGGCTGTTAGAGACCCACCCCCTCCCATTCAACTCCCACACTCCGCCTTCCCTCTCTGCTTGGAAATGGCCACGGAGACTGCAGCGGAGCCTCCTTGGAGACTCTGAGGACATTAATCAGTTTCACAGCTGGAGGCAAAATGATCTAGTGCAGCAATTCCTCCATTAAGGGGCTTTCTCCTGGCCCTTCCATTGAGCAAGGCTTTTGCATACAGTGAAACGTGCTTTGTCTTCACCAGGGCAGACAAAGGATTAAATTAAAAGAGCAATAACCTAGCTGCTAGCTGGGCTTCTGGGAGGGCAGCGGGGGCAGGCACTCTGTCTCTGAGAAGTGGCAGCCGGTTGTCCCTTTTGGTCTTCCTAGGAATAAAGTCATCATGTGCCCAACCTGGCCCTACCAGGGGTCCGAGCTGGACGGGACTTTTCAGGTGCACTGAGCAGCCCCTATTTCCAGATGAGGGAAGGAACTGAGGCCTTCGCCTGGGCTCCAGTGAGGTGACTCCAGTGAGAACTCGCAGTCTCCTCCTGACCCATCCCCTTCTACCCTATTCCGGCAAGTTCTGCCATTGGGGTCCCGCCCCTTTCTTTCCTGATTGGCAGCGTCTCCCCCCCACTCCCCACTCCCCACTCCCCACTCATTCAGCCGCCTGACGTCTGCCCGCCAACTCAGGAGCACGGCCTGAGATCCCAGCAAAAGGCGTTCAACTCCAGGTTAAAATGGAGTTTAACTCCTCGTTAAAATGCTCACGAAAGGAGAAAGCAAAGCAGGGGACAATTCCCTCTCTGCATATGTGGCCACTGCTGAGTGTTCAGATGCCTCAGAGACGCTCTCAAATAGATGGGGGTCATGGATGTGGAGACTGGATCTGCGAAGCCTGAGTCCCATCTGGCCCCACGGGACCCAGGCCGATTATGGAACAGGAACAGAGCAGGAAGTGCGGGATCCGCAGCGTTTATCGTGGAGGATTACATTGTTAACGGCACTGTGCATTTGTCAACGTGCCTCTTGACAACACTCCAGCTCTCGTCTATAACCCACCTAGCGCATCCTCGGAACAATGCCACACAAGGGGAAGGCAAGCCACGCTTTCGGGGGGCAGGTAGTGTGTCATTTAGTAGTTTCCCTTCTCCTAGGCACCCTCCTTCCCTGCTCCCCAGCTTGCCCCCCACTCCTGAGCTGACATGGGGGTGGAATAGGGGGAAAGAGGGAGAGGAATTGGGGCTTTTACACAATATTCAGCTTAAACTGAAAAATATAATAGGTAGGTGGCATCATGTTTGTAAGTTGCCACGGCCCAGTTGGAAGATTATATACCATGTGCTGGTGGCCCTCTGGGGTGGGTTTGGGACCATGAACTCAGTGGCTTGTGGAGTCATTGGCATTTCCTGGACTGGGAGAGAATAAGGGTCCTCCCTTCTCCCTGGAAACTTGGCCCAGGGTGGCCCGGAAACTTCTCTGTTCTATAGGAGACGGGAGCCTGAATCCTTGTGGCTAGTGTCCACTGCAGGCCTGAGAGCAACTGACAGCTACAAAAGCCACACGGGTTGAATCATTGGCCAGTGACTCCCACTGCGGAGGGGCAGCCAGCCCTCCTGGGTGTGGCCCCCACCTCCCCAGCCCACTGCCCCAGGGAGCCTGACATTTCAGGAAATTGGGCCAGCTCCCTCTCACCCTCCTTTCTCCCTACACCAACAGCACAATACAGAGTGAATGGGGCAGGAAGGATGGGCTGGTTGTCTTCCAAACTGGAGCTTTTGTGTCCAAGAGCAAACCAAAGCTGCAAAGAGTCTGCAAATAGAGAAACCTGGGGTGGTGGTAAAGGAATATTCCCAGCAGGGAAACCAGAGCGCTTGTCTGACAAGCATTTGTTAACTGAATTGATCTGATTACTCAGGACTTTTCTTAGCCAGTACTGGGGCAGAGTGGGGCTGCAGTTGCTTTTCATTCTATTTAATTTCTGTTTTCCAAGAATGAATATCAAGGGAACAGCTTTGATTAAACAAGCCTTTTAAAAGGGGGAGAAAATGCCAGGTTTTACAGAAAGCCTTACTGAGTCGCTGGCAAATGGCCACATGACACAATATTTTTAGTCTATGGATATTATCTCTTTTCTAAGCACAAAACTGCTATTCCCATTAACACAGCTCGTAGGTTCAGGGAAAAAAGAAATTAGCCTGGCTCTGAAAAAAAAAAATCAAGATTCCAGGAAATCAGCTTCTTAATAGAAATTAAAAATAAAATTCTCATGTCCCTATTTCTACATTTCTCCATACCCTTTCTATCTGCTGCTCTTTCTTTCCTTTCTTTCTGCATTAGTTGTTGAGACTGTAGGCCAAACTGGAGAAGATTTCATAGCCAAGTCTAGCATTACCACATTCAAACAGAATTTTTGAAAATGTTTGGCATGAGCCCAAGCAAGAGTGAGACCCTGTCTCTACAAAAAAAAAAAAAAAATTAGCCTGGCATAGGGGTGTGTACCTGTAGTCCCAGCTACTTGGGAGGCTGAGGGAAGAGGATTGCTTGAGCCCAGGAGTTAGAGGCTGCAGTGAGCTATGATCACACCACTGCACTCTAGCCCAGGTGACAGAGAAAAAAAAAAAAAGAAAGAAAGAAAGAAAAGAAAAGAAAAGAAAAAAGAGTTCAGCTCAACTTTTCGTTGTTGCTTTTTTTCATTTTAAAATTCTCTAAGGTGGGAATGTTGGTCTCACATAGATGGGCAATGAACAAGAAGAAAAACCCAATGTTCAACAAATATTTATTGGGCATCTAATATGTCCAAGTCACTGGGAATATGGCAGTGCATAAAATGAAGCCCCTTTTTTCATGGATTTTACCTTCTAAGGAGACAGTATTAGGTAACATTTATTAGAACTGCCAGGCACTGTTCTAGTACTTTATAAGATAACCCCATGGGGTGTGCCCTAGTACTGTTACTCTTTGTACAAACTAACTCTGCTGCAAAGTAGGGAACCAGGATTCCAATCCAGGCAGTCTGGCTGTAGGGTCACCAAACCTAATTTACTACACTAATGCATGACTCCTGTACTCCAGATAGGCCTCAGAGAGTCCTCCTTCTCCGTTCCCATCATTTCTTGCATTCATCCCTTTTGGAGCACCTCCCCCACATCTTTGTCTGTTCCCTCAGTTGACCAGGAGAGAACAGAGGGTTGGAGGATGGGGCCTGTCTGTCATCTCTGTATTCCAAGACTTTACAGTGCTTGGTACCAACCAGCATTAGAGACTCACCTCCTAGAGCATTTCAAAACCCATGTGGAGAGACATCCTGATTCAGATGCATGTAGTAAATGCCCCCATGGGTCTCTAAGACACTGTCATTCCATCACATCCAGCTTGGGTCTCTGATTTATGGATATGTGAGGATCCCCTGCAGGGAAGACTCTGTTCAAAGACACAGGGCTGCTCTATGTGTGGGCAGCTGCAGGCCTAGGTAGTTGCTGTCCAGGCAATGAACTGGAGAGTTGATGGGGGTTGTGATTTAAACATCACACCTCGGAGTGCTGCCAAGGTGCGTCTGCAATCTGGGGGGCTGAGAGAAGGGTGCTCTGTGGCATTGCCCAAATATTTCCTCTTAAAAATGAATGGGAAACACCTAAATGAGCAGCAAGAAAGACTTAGTAAAATAACCCCCTACAGTACAACGCTGTGGCATCATTAATTAACCAGGCTGTAAAATAAGATTTAAGAACATGGATAAATGCTCAAGATATAAATAAACAGAACAGATATTATAATTTTTATTTGAACATTTCAGTTTTTTGAAGGGTGTAAATTTGCACAGAAAAGAACAGAAGGCTATCATCAAAATGATGAGATTTTAGAGGTGACTTATATTTCATCTCTTCTTTTGTACTTTTCAGTCTTTCCCAGTTTTTATGTAAAAATATATTCATCACAACTAGAAAGACATTATTAAATAACAAACAGAAAGTAAACACTTTAAAAAATGGTTTAAACACCTAATACTGGCCCCAAGGGCGACCTTTAATCTTTTTTGTGTGTGTGCACATTCTCTTCTTGTACTGGGAGCTCCGCAGCGATCACAACACAGCAAATTGCTGGGTTGGAAACCTTGGCAGGTTTTCCTTTGATTCTAGACTTCAGGGGCTGTGGCTCTGGTTACAAAACCTCCACTGATTATCTGATCCGGAGATCTAAGGCCTTGAGGATAGAACATCCCTCATCCTAGCAGGAAATAATGAAACCTTCTAACCTTAAAGCCCTTTGGAACAAATGGATATAAACATGTAGTCTGTAGCGTTGCCGCAGCCCTTCATATTTTACAGTGCGCATTCTCATTTAATCCTCACGATAACGTGGAGGAGCAATTGGTCGAGTCATCCCTAAGTTATAAGCAAGGAAGGGACTTGCCCCAGATCTTGTGGCGAGGACCAGAACTTGGGCCCAGCTCTTGTGATCCAGGCCCTTCCTCTGCTTGCTTGACTCCATCAAGGGAGCAAGAAAGCAACCTTGATGAGCGCCCACGGCTGGCTCCAGCACAGCCCTCCTGCGTGCTGGCCCTAGGGCTGGTCTGCTCTTGTCAGACCAAGTGGCTCTGGGCAGGGTGTCTTCAAGAGAGCTGGGCTGGGCACTGGGAGCCAAGGATGACAAAGACCTTCAACTACCCAAAGATGTGGGAAGGGCTTTACCGGTGGCCACATGCCAGAAATTAGATTTCAAAAGCTCTTCTATAGCCCCAAGCCAGATTCCAACCTGTAGTCTAAGCCCTGCTACGTTTCATTCTCAGCTCACACTTGTTCCTTGTTCCTTCCACCATGGCAACGAATAATGTCTGTGCACATTTTTATACCCTGATATATGGAAATTTCTTTTAAGGGTAGTGACCAGATCCTACGCCTTTGGGTATAGTCCTGTTACTCAGTGTGCGGTAGGTGTGTTCAGACAGTGTTGGTTAAAGCCAACACGTAGAATCCAGAGGTTTTCCAGAGGGGAAGTGAGAACACAGTGAGGGCATAAGGAGAGGGATTCAGAAGCAGAGCCTGCCTGGACAGGGGCCTTTGCACACTTTCTGTAATTGAAGCAGAGTCCAATGATGGCTTCCCAGGGTGGGGTCAATCAGGGCTATGGGCTCAGACCAACAGATCCAGAAGTTTCTTGAGCCATTACGTCCGAGAGCTGCTCATTTGGGCCTCTTCCTGACACATAGGGAATATTCCATGGGTGACAAATACACAGTGGGAACTGAACAAACACTTCTGGGGACAGGTGTATAGGGGTGCTGCTGACTTGATAAAATGTTTTCCCTCATTTTTTAGTATTTCCTGATTTCCCCCTCAAAGAACTTTGGAATGTCTGGTAATGGTACCCTCTTCTCCACAACAGAATTGGACTTTGAAGCAGGACACAGCAGGTAGCCTTGCCTGTGCTTGAATACTGTTTGTCTGAGGGTGAACGACAGCTGCCCCCAGCAGTCCGCTGCCTCATTTTGAGCTCAGAGGGCAGTGAACCCCGGGAAGGAATAGGGCATAGGGCAGTCATCTGGAAGGCGCCTTTCCTGTACAAAACCTCCGTCTCCAGAGAAGGAGAATGATGGGGTGGGAGAGGGTGGCCAAGGATCGGGAGGGTGGCCAAGGATCGGGAGGCTGGCTCAGACAGCCGTCTGGTTTGGGAGAGGCGGCGGCCCGGCGAAGGGGCCGACCAGCCGGGAAGCCTCCAGGTGGGGTGAGCAGGCCTCTGAGGAAAACCCATAGGCCTCAGGGTGGACCAGGTGAGGCCCTGGCTCTGCACCCGGTGTGGGAACCAAAGCCAGTCACTTCAGCCCTGGTGCCTGGTTCCCTCCTGTGGGTGTGACATGCACGTCCCAGGGACGTTGTGAGAAACCACGAGGTGGAGTGTGTGTGTCACAGGGCAGACGCCTCTCGGGGAGGTAGTGGCTGTGCACGAGCCACCGAGGAGGAGGGGGGCGTGGGTTTAGAGATGGGGGAGATGATAACAGGTGACTGGGGGGCAGACTCTTCCCTCACTACCACCACCCCGTTTCCCCACCCCGTTTTGAGGTGGTGTAAGCAGAGCTTGATTCTCTCACTTGGGGTGTTTCCCTGACAGTTTCCGTCTCACCGTGGAAGTGAGGGACAGCGGGGGGCTCAGAGCCTCCACGACGCTCCGGGTGAACATCGTGAACCTCAACGATGAAATCCCTCGCTTTACCAGGTAGGCCCGAGGCACTCGGGACCCGGGGCCGCAGGCTCCATCCTTCTTAGGCGGCCTGGTCTCTTTTGACACATCTAACACAAGACAGAGGGGCGCCCCTCGCTCTGGCCTAGAGCAGAGCCAAGAGGCCTGAGATCCTCCGCATCCTTCATCCTGGCCTCTGGCCTTGTGTTTGCCTCCTTTGCTGCCCACGACTCCCGCTGCCCCATGTGCCACGCGCCAGGGGACCGTGCATACAGTGGGCAGGCGGGAGGGGCGGGACACATGCCCCTGGTGCGTGGCTTGCCCCTGTGTGTTAACGACAGCACAATCCCAGCGCACATACCGCCAGGCAAGGCTCCCCGAAGCCTGCCTTAGAGCGTTGTCCTCACACCAAGCAGCGGCGCCTGCCCACTGCTGGCTCTGCTGAAGTTTCTTCCTGCCGTGGTGGGTCCAGAAAAGGGATCTGGCTGTGTGACAGCTCCTATGTCTGGCAGAGGTGAGGAAGGTAAACACATCTGGTAGGGGCAGTTTGTGGCAATGTGCCTGGCACCACCCCAGGCACAAAAGGGAGACTCAAGCCTACTGAAGATGGATGCAGGGGGAGAGGGCGGGATTCTGAGCTAGCAGCTGGTGCTCCAAACAGCCCGGCTTGCGGGTTAGAGCCTCTGCCTGCCCCAGTCTCTGACATGGGCATAGGAGCCAGCCACAGGGGCCGTGGCAAAGTCACCTGCCTGGGGGTTAACTGCATTAATGGCCATGCATAGATTCAGCACTGGGTTCTCCACTAACAAAAAGCCGTTAGGCCCCAGAGCAAGGTGGACGGCTTGCAAAAGTATCCCAAGACTGGGAGATATTAAGGCCACCCCACTTCCAGACTAACCTAGTGCCACGTGGCCAACACACTGCAATTGTGAAACTTCTGGATGTTACCATGGGCTACAGCCCAGTTGCAGGTGTGAATGCGGAGGGAAAGCAGCAGTCAAACTCCCAGACACTGCTGCCCATCGGCGCCCATGCCGGGTTAGACTCGAGGGACAGCACGGCGGGCTTCTGCTGGCGGGCTGCTCCGGGAGAACGGGCCAGGCAGTATATTAATAGTTGTGACATCCCAGCCCAGACTCGGGCTCAGGTACTGGCCCACGCGGCTCTGCGGGTTCTTTGGTGACCCCCAGAGGAAAGCGATGGCTGCTGGGCTGGAGCAGACCCATTCCCTGAGGCCTTCCCCACAGGCCCCGTCTGTGAGGAGGGAAGCAGGTTACTGGGGTTGCAAAGGGAAAATAATAAATTCTCCCCAGGGACAGCACTATAAACCATCTGGTTTGGACTACATCTTCCAAAACACAGAAACTGACCTCAGCAGAGAGAGAACATGACCCTGGCTGGAGCCCTCTGGTTCTCCCTTTTGGTTTGAGAGGGGAGTCTGTTGGCTCCCTCCAGGCAGAGAGTGTGAGCTGTGCGAGCGTCTGGTCTTGTTTTAATCAATCGACTTTGTTTCAGTGTTCCCTGGGCGGTGGGCCGTGAGAACCTGCGCTCCCAAAGGAGGATTTGGGGCAGGGTGGCTGCCCCAGCCTAGAGCCAGCCTCGTCCAGCCATCCACAGTCGGAGAGGGTTTGCTTCGGTGCATACTCGCTGCTGGCTTTGAGGGCTTTCTTGGTTTCCCTGAGCTTCTCATTTTCCTTTCTGCCAAATCAGTGCTAATACTACCCATAAGTCATTTAACTCAGAATTAACACAATGAAATCCTCAAACTGACCCAAGTATACTGAGTTTGAATGTGAAATATTAATAGAAATGTAAAAATGTAGAAACAGCCCTTCTGTCTTTACCCTTTGTTAAACTCCTGCAATTAATACAACAACGGCAAGCCCTGTTTCCTGCCTGTTTGTTGAAAATGTCTCACCATTCTCCCTGGGTGGTGACAAACATCAGAATGCTTTATGGACTCACGATGTGTACTCTAGGAGCCTGCTATTATAAAAGCTGAGCACTTTATTATGAAAGCACCTGACATATTTACTCTTCAGGTGTGCATAGGGCTTGCTGTTTTGCAGAGCACTTTATTTTACAGTTGGGCAGGTAGGTCTTTCTCCCCTCCTGCCCATTTCTCTTGTATTTACTCTCAGTCCTTCTCCACGTGGTGCCTGGCAGTGCCATGCACACCTTAGGCACCCACTGAATACTCATTCCAGCAATGCAGCCATCTGGGGCCACCCAGAACTCACATCTTTTCCCCTGAGTGTGGCCTTGCCCCTCACCTGGCCCTTGCCAGGCTCTGGTGGTCAGGGGTACTAGGGAGAAGGGTGCAGGGACGTGAGTGGTATCAGAGCGTCATCCTGTCAGGGCGGCTGCACCACCCCTGGCTTCACTATGCTTTGAATAGATCTTAACTGTGGTCAGACCTTTATTTTATATGTACCTGGATCTTGGATCCCCAAATCAAACAGACCAAAGATTTTATCTTCTGCCAGGCTCAGTATCTGGCCGGCCAAGGAGAGGCTATTGCACTTGAGGAACTGTGCCATCACCAACAGCCTGCGCAGTCCCTTCACGGGGACCTGAGTTCCTGGAGCACCCAGTGTGCACTGGATGGGCCTTCAGAGCAGGGTTTCCCCAACAGTGGCACTACTGGCATTGAGCCAGATACTTCTTTGCAGAGGGGCGTGTCCTGTGCATTGTAGAGTGTTTGGCAGCATCTCTGGCTTCTACCCCCAGATGCCAATAGCAGCCCCTTCCCCCAGTTGTGACAACCAAAGTAGGAAGGAGGGAAGGTGGGGTGGATGGGATTTTCCTCCCCAGGTGTCCTTTCTCTGTCCTATGGGAGGCTGGGGGCCTGTGGTTGTCACCTCCAGCACTGCCTTGGGACAGTGCTTCTCAAACTTGGAAGCATAAACAAATGCCCTGGGCATCTCATGAAATATGTAGACCCTGGTTCAGTGACCCAGGTAGGTGGGCCTGAGAGCTGCACTTCTACCTGGCCCCTGGGCACGCTCGAAGTAGCAAGGGCACACTGTGTGAGTAGTACAGGCATCTTAGGGGTCTCTCTCTGGGAAGTGAATGGAGCCCATTCAGAGTAACCAAAGAAAAAACAAGCAAGGGGCTCTTACAGAATGGACAAGGGCTGAGCCCAGCCTTGGGAGCTGGGGCCGCCGCTCTCTCTCCTCTGGCCCTGGTGTTGGTGCCTGCCACCCTCCTTGAGTGGGCCCACTCCGCTTGGCCTATCCCTGGACTCAGCAGCGGGCAGTGTCACCGGCTCCTGAGAAGGGGATGTGTCGGGGGGACACTGGGTAGGGAGAGGCCCAGAGCACTGCAGTGACCTCTTGGGCTGAACAGGATTATTCTCTCCCAACAATGGGGTGTGCCTGCCAGAGACCACCGCGTGGATGGGGCGGGAGACCCAGAGCCAGGGAGGAGCCCTGCTGTGGCGGGGCCAGGGGTGCGGGCCTGGTTCCAGCCTTTTCTGCCTGCCTCTCACTCTAGCTAAAGGTCCCCTCTCATCTCTCCTTCCTCTGGCCCTACCTACCTTGTCGGATGGTGAGATGGAACTGCAGGAACATTCTGAACTCACAGAATGAATGCAGTCATTTAGATCTGAGATATAGTATGCCCCTCTCAAAGAAGATCCCACACGGGAAAATTAGAAATTAGGAAATTAGAGGCGACAATTTGCCCCACTGTAATCATTTTCCCTCAGCAAAAGGACCTCCTGCGGAGCTATTTTAAATAATAAACCTCCCTTAGTGTGTTCATAATTACTCAATTTACCCAAATTGTATAGTTGTTAGGACTCCCAATCTCTCTGTCACTGGCCTTTTCCAATGGCCTTGGTGATCTGAGGAAAATGGAAAATGGGTAAGTTGGTGTTTCGGGGTTATCTTGTAAGAAGTCACCCTTGGAGGACAGTCATCTGACCTGGTCTTCTGTCAGGGGACTCATCGTTCAGTTCAGAGAGCTGCTGACCTCATTATTAATGCGACTTGGAAAGGTATACAAGTTCTGTGCATAAATTCTGTATCCTTAGGCAGAAAAAAAAAGAAAAGAAAAGAAAAAAAAGACAAGGAAGAAACAAAGGTGAGCAAAGGCACTAGAATAGAGAAGTTTTACAATTTTTCCAGCTTCTCCCATCATGGGATGGGAGTCAGGAACAAGGGAGGGAACCTGCAGTTGTGGACATAATGTCCAAATAAATTTTTAAACTAATTCAGGGAACTTTTGCACCAAAATTGGGGGAATGAGAGGAGATAGCTGGACGGTCCAATCATCCTCATTTTAAAAGATGCTAGTGCCGAGGCTGATCTGCAATGGCATGAGGCAGTCATGCACAGTCAGAGACTGTGGTCCGTGTAAATCGCGGCATTAACAGTGTGGTTCTTCCTTTGCATCCACGGGGACGTGATCTTTGGGAATACAAAGCCAGTCTCCCCTCCTCTCAGCTGCTGTGCTCTCCCTCTGAGCATGTTGATGCAACTCAAACAGCTCAGCACTATATTTAGCACCAACCAAAATACCCACCCTCCCGTGCCCCTGAAAATTAGCTGTGTCTGCTGTATTTCTGTTCCAGCCCAACACGCGTATACACGATTCTGGAGGAACTGAGTCTGGGAACTGTCGTGGCCAACATCACAGCTGAGGATCCTGATGACGAAGGTTTTCCTAGCCACCTCCTGTACAGCCTTACTACCGTTAGCAACTATTTTGTGATAAATCCGTGTAAGTCACACACATCCATCCTTACGTGCATCTTCTAATTCGGCCATTTGGATTATTTTACAATACAGCTGTCCCTCGGTGCCCAAGGGGGATTGATTCCAGGAAACCTGAGGATACCAAAATCCATGGACACTTGGTAGAAAATGGCATAGTATTTGCATATACCTTTGCACGCATCCTCCCATATACTTTGCATCATGTCTAGATTACTTATAGTACCTAATGCCATGCCAATGCTGTGTACAGGGTAGTTATACTGTATTGTTTAGGGAATAACGAGAGAAAAAGTCTGTGCATGTTCAGTAAAGATACAAACATCCTCCCCCCCACAAGATATGTTCAATCTGAAGTTGGTTGCATCCAAGGATGAGAACCCACAGATACTGAGGGCTGATAGTGTTTTTCCTATTTCTGGTTGGGATCATCCCTTTATGTCTTGGGTCATCATTAGTTGCCAGGGTAATGATTAGTTATCAGGCATGAGAGTTGGGGAAAGTGAACGGGGTTCATAGCTGTGTCAACCCTCACCTTTGGGGGGTAGGAGAAGGTCAGAGACACCTTCCTGCTTTTGCTGTTTTCTCAAATGCCAAGGCGCCATATTTGGAGGTAATGTGTCTTGAATCCCACCACCTTTGAGGAAGGCAGGCATGTAAAGATGGAGGGGTTACCTGTCCTGAAGTCATCCCGAAGTCTTCTGAAGAGAAGAGTTCCACCAGTACTGTGCAACAGAAATAGAGTGAAGCCACATTCTATGTAATTTCCAAGTCTATAGTAGTCACATTTTAAAAAGTAAAAAGAAACAGGAGAAATTAATTTTAATAAGGTATTTTATTTAACCCAACATATCTCAAATATCATTTCAATATATAATCAATATGTAAAAGTTATTAATGAGATATTTCACATTATTTTCTTTAGTACCAAGTCTTGGAAGTTTGTTGTGTATTTTATACTCACAGGATATCTCAATTCAGACTAGCACCATTTCGAGTGTTACATAGCTACATGTGATTAGTGGTGACCATACTGGACAGTGTCACTCTAGATCAATCTGCTGGATTGCGGGGAGTTATTTTCCCATCTGAGTGTCTCAGTGCAGAGATGGAAAGTTCTTCCCTTCTGTTATAGCCATCTTTTATTATTGGGGCCTTATTATATACCAGGCAATATGCTGAGTGATTAACATGCATTCTGCCTCAGGTACTCAATATGGCAATCCAGTGAACTACTATAATCCGCATTTTACAGATGAGGAAACTGAGGCTTAGTGATAGACTCAGACAGGTTAAATGACTTGTGCAAGGTCTCACAGCTCCAGGACTTGCCCTCTTAACTGCTACTAGACCATCCTACCTCTAATCACTTCACCAAAACAGATTTCAATTCACATGATGATTTCATGGAGGCCACCTGTGGGCAATCCCAGAAAGGTAGTGTGTTACTGGCTCCACAGGCTTTAGAGCAAAGGATACCTCTTCCCAGGAGAGGCAAGCAAAGGCAACCATTGTGCTCTATCTCTGAAAACTTCCTAGAGCTGTCACTGAGGACCTCGGTCAGCTGATAACGTAGGGATGGACAAGCATGCCTGAGAATTCTGTTCACTCTGGTATTGCAAAATTAAACTTTTAACAAGTACAGACAAGTACAGCGGGTTTCTTTTTTTTGAGCATATTTATCAAGCCTCTTTGGTTGTATGCAACAGAAACTAAGGCAAAGCAAACTAAGCAAGAGAAAAAAAAAAAAGGTAAGGACATCTATCACCAGGATACTGGGTCTCTCATAAAAAAGAGTCAAATCATCGGGGCACAGGAAAGGTGTGAACCAGCACAGCTCAGGAACCTCAGTGCTAGAGTTCTGGCCTTTTACCTACAGCTCCACTATTAACCTTACTGACTCCCCAACATGTGACTCTCAGTTATAAATTCCCCCATAAGAGGACCCTGTGGGTAAGCTGGAGTCAGCTATCCACCAGTCCAGTCAACTATGGGCAAGAGCTGCTGCCAGTCCCCTGAAGTCTGTTGTGAAAAATTCTAGAAGGGTCAGACCAGATATCCCAATAAATATCCAACATAGGAACTCACATGGGGTTTCCCAAAACAGTGTTTATATAGAGAAGATTCTCTGTGTAAGCCAGTCCTCAAATGAGAGTGGTCTTTTCCCATTTTCTCCACTTTTCCATATTCCTTTACTCTTCATTTCTCTTCAAAGGGTCATGTTCTAACCTTTGCCTTCTTAGTGACTGGCACCATTCGAGTGGCCCAGAGGATAGACCGAGATGCAGGTGAATTAAGACAAAATCCCGCCATTTCTGTAGAGGTTCTGGTGAAGGACAGACCCCAGGGGGGTCAGGAGAATCGCATGCAGATAACTTTCATTGTGGAAGACATCAACGACAACCCTGCCACGTGCAGGAAGTTCTCCTTCAGGTACTCAGAGTTTGAAACTTGTGCTGAGCATTTTACCTCTTTGGTGGTCCTTGGTCCTTTGGCTTCTCTCGTATGTTCTCAGGAGGGACTGAAGAATTATGGGCATCTGGGGAAATGGCTCATGAAAATAAGTAGATTCGAACCATCCAATTTTGTTCACAGGTTTTCTTTTCGTCGTCCTTTTTTTCTTTCCTCTCTTTCATTTTCTTTCCTCTTCATTATCTCCCATCTCCACTTTCTTACTCTTGTAAGAATTATTTTTTTATTTCATTCCCTTCTATAACCTGTTCGTCTCTGTTGGTGAAAAGTACCACAGGGACTTGTTAGGTCCTCTCTGGGCTGTTCCTTTTCTTTATTTATTGCCACCCGTGGCAAGATGGTGCTGTTAGCAGTTGTAATAGATGCTTGAGACTTAGGCTTAGTAAAGAGAAACTCCCAGAGAAACACACCACCAGTAATGTGCATAAATCAAACCAAGTACTCATGTAAAACAAAACAAAGCATCAATTCACCTTACACAACTTAATTGCATATAAACAAAAGGCAACCAAAAGGGAAAAAAATGCAGATACAAGTGGGATATGAGGGTTACTTTGTAAACGTTGACCCATTCTTTGTCTCACAATCTATTCATTATTATTTTAAAATAAGGCTCCTTGTGATCCCGGGTTAATATGCCTTTTGAAACAGTATTGCCTTTCTACTATTTTGTCAAAAAGCAACATGATTAGTAATTTCCTGTGTTAGCCTGGTCTCTGAGGTTTCATACCAGCCACTCTCTGGTTTCTTGAGAGCCTGAAAAGAGCTCTTTGAGGGTAGGGATTGTGGGAGGCACCTCAGCAGTGACCCTTGCCAAGAGAGGGCCCTGTATCTAGAGCAAAGCTAAAGACCAGACCAGGTCTCAGTTTCAGATGTCCCCATGGAGAGAGTCTCCTGAGTTTATCTTTGACTGATTTTTGCAGGTTTTCTCCAGGTAACTTTGGACACAGATCCAATACATGCAAAGGACAAAAGACCTACCCTAGACAAGGATTGTCTGGGATGAGCAATAGAAATAGAAATTCCCTTATTACATGTACGAATGTCTCTGTTCTCCCACATGACATGCCCAGCATAATGCTAAAGAATCAATGTGTCCTTGAGTCTGATATCAAAACAGTTCAATTCTGTTCTGGACACACCCCTGATCTGTCTGTTCAGATCCAGTCTCCACCCTGCACTGTGCCCAGGAGGCTGGCCTGCACGGGCACCAACTGGCTCCCTTGCCTTCCAGCTTCTGGCTGGCCAGCAGGGAGCCCTGGAGGGAGGGGGAGAGGAAGGTCAGGGTATTTATCCCTTGCCCCCTCTCTGTGGGCTTGATATATTCCTCTTGCTCCTGGAGGTCTCAGTCCCCACAAAGCAGTCCTCTGCATATGGCACTCTCTGTCCCTGGTTTCATGAACTGCTCCCTCCACTGGCTCCTGTGGGCATGGAGATGGTGATGGTGCTCCTCTTACTAGCCCTGAGATACTGTGCCATCCCTTGAGATTTCCATATACTCTGAGCGCACCTTTGTAATAGCCCATTACTAAGCCCTCCTAGATTTATCCTAATCTGCCATCCGCTTCGTGTGGAGACCCTGATAAAGTCAATCACAATCTTGAGCATGTGATAGGTTCCTATCCCAACCTAAGCATTCATGCACCCCAGAGTCTGTTACATGGGTGGGGATGGTTGCTGTAGGTAGGACCGTGACTTCCACACCATTGCATGCATACATGCATAAATTAAAGCCACCCTATGTTGAGAGATGTCTAGGCCCTGGGATGGAGTCACACTTAGATTTTCTTTGAAATTCCAAATCTACGCTGGTCCTCGTGGGTAGTCCCAGTGCACCCTGGGAAACTCCTCCCCTCCTGTCCTACCCTCCCAACCCTCCTCCTCTTCTTTGTTCACCTGTCCTGAGAGGTGGGGGGCGGTGGGGGTTCAGGAGTGAGGACTCTGGGTATCGTGCCTGGAGAGGACTGTGCTGTCTCAACTCTTCTTTGTCCCTTTTCTCCCTTGGGCGCATATCTGTTAATTGCATATTTGGCTTCCTGTGGTCCAGAGTCCCCTGAGGCATAGGAGGGCAAATAGGACGTTTGCAGACTGTGTTCCAGATTAGCTGATGAAGTCACAATTTGAATACCCCGCACTGTCCAGGCGGCCCATGGGGAGTCCTGTCTTCTTGGTCTCTCCAAATTAGCCCTGAAGGCCAACGCTAAGTCAGTAACTTGACTAACTGTATTTATTAGTGAAGATCATCTAAACGATGCTCAAGTCCCTTCTCTGGGCTTTTCCAATGCTCAGCCATCCTAGGACCGCCAAGAAGTGAGGAGATACATGGGCTCCCTCCCCTGCAGTCCCATAGGCGGCAGTCTGCTGCCCATGGGCTGGTGGGGACCCGTGGGGGCCTAAAAGCCCTGAGCCTGCACCCCCTGCCCTCCTCCCTTCTAACTGCATCGAAGCAGCTCAGAACAGAACAAAACGACATCGGAAATGGTGCGACCGCAGTCTCTGACACTTGTCCCTTCCTCGAGGGTCTTGGGCGCGGTCCCGGCTGTGGTCCCTTCCAGAGCAGGTGCAGGAGCGGCGGGCGGGCGCCAGCACCCACATACGGCAGCAGGCTGTGGGGGGCCGCGGGGCGGAGGGCGGCCTGGAGGAGGCGGGCGCCCCCTGCCGGCCCCCGAGTGCACGCAGGCCCCAGCTCTCGGCCGAGGCGCCTGCGGCTTTCCCAGGCTGGTGATGAATGAGCCGGGCCCGACGGAGGCATCAAAGGCGCCGTGACAGCCCCCGCTCCGGCTGTAAATCGTCAGGCGCTCGGCTGCAAGCGCTGCGCAAGCTGTCTGCGAGCAAGAGGCTGGAAGGTTGGCGGATTCGGAACCGGCTGGGCGCACTCACCTTTGCCTGGGGAGAGAACTGTGGTCAAATGGCTGGGAGCGAGGGCAGCTCGCCTTCGAGGCCCGGGTTGATGAATGAGGGGGCGTGCCTTTCCAAGTCACGCGTTTAGGGGAAGAATACCAAGTGTCTGAGGCGAATGAAAGAACACGCCAGGCAGCCCCGAGGGGCCAAGTGTGGCGGCCTCTTTTGGAGTGACTGAAACGTCTGGCTTCAGGACCCAGGATTCTTTGGATGATGCAATCTCCTGGCTTTTGCAGGGCTGTAATCAAGGCTCAGATCCCCAAACCATCTGTGTGCCTGGATAGTCTTTCACGGAATTTAGTAAAGTTTACAGGGACTCTAACACACAGGCAGTAGAGACTCCTGTCTGGATGCATCAACTCTTGGACAGGCCTGCAAACCACTCTGAACCACTCTCTCCTCCCTTGCAAAATGGGGACAAGAATACAAACCTCTTGGAGATGAGGGAATTAGACGTGTTTTTAAAGTGTTTGGTATGATACAGCATGTGCTTGGTGTTTCACACAAATGGTGTCTATTCTAAGTACTTATGAATAAAACCATGACACTGTGCGATCAAGGCCAGAATGACAATGCTCAGACTCCAGTCCTGCTGAAACACGGGGTGATCTTTGTTCAGGAGGCATCCTGGAGGCCCAGCTAGACCTGCCTTGTCTCCAGCAAGCAAAGCCGTTATCCTCAGGAAGCCAAGGCCGTGCTTGCTGTCAGACTGTGTTCTGCATGTGCTGAGCCAGGAACCCATCTTAGCTGCCATTAAGAGGGGGTCTGGAGTGTAGAAAGGAGCGTAATTTGGCCGCAGAGAGAAGTACAGAGGATTAAAGAACTTAACACATGTTAGTGTGGGTGCTCCGAGAACCGGATGCCAAGACAGGATTAAATATGCGGGGCTTTTATTAAGAGAAATGCCTGCGGGAGAAAATGGGGAGAGAGATAGACAAGCCTGTGGAAATCATCAGACCAGATTGCAAGTCTGACCTGAGTAAAGGAAAGAGGGAGAGAAGGTGGTTTAGAAAGTTCTAGACTGGCATGCAGTCTAAGGAACATTCAGCTAGGACATTGGAGTCCTGGAGCCAGATTCAGCCGTCATAGGACCGGAATGAGGCTGTCTTGGTATCTCAGTCATTGGAACGTGGCCTTGCTGCAAACGCAGTAATGCATTTCAGAGCTCAGCAGCTGAGGCTACGTTCTTGTTGTGGTTGAAGGTCTTCCAGGCACATTCTTGTGGCAGCCGCAATATATTTTTGTAAGAAATTCTGGCAAGGCAAAATATGATTGAGATAAGTAGCAAGAAAGGAAAACAAACAAAACAAAACAAAAACCAGCCACAATTCCTCCCTGCCTGTATGTGTGCTCCTTTGCAATGTGATTTTGCTATCATTTCTATCAAGATATGGATCTCTCTGCTCTTTGAATATGGGCTTCACCATATGAGTTGCTTTGGCCACTAGAACATTCATAAACATAGCACAACAGAGGCTTGAAAAGTGCTTGTGCATTGGAACTTGCCCTCTCTTGCTACTTCTGGAACTCTGAGACCTCCATGCAATGAGCCTAAACTAACCTCCTAGAGGACGAGAGACAACAAGAAGCAGAGACTCACCAACTTCCCACCACCAGACGTGTGAGCGTGGCCACCCTTGGCCATCCAGTCCCAGCCGAGCTGCCAGTGACCGCAGAGACCAGCCAAGCCCAACTGGAACCAGAAGAACTGTGGGATAACCCATACTATTGTGAGAAATAATAAGTGCTTGTTGTTTTAATGCACCTAGTTTTGGGCTGGTATGTTATGTAGCAAAAGCTAACTGACATGACTTAGGTCCATTTTATAGAAGGAGAAACTGAAGCCTGGAGACACGATAAAGGCCCTCAGTGAACTGAAGTGTAAAGGTGTTAATCAGTCTTCCTCGGAGTGTCCCACACCAAGCTGGGCTTGACCACTGAGTCTGGGGGCAGCTTTACTCATTTGCATTATTTACCTAGACCTTGGAGTCAACTGAGATTGGGATCCCCACATTTGATTCTTAATAAACCCCTCTTGAATGAATGAGACTAAGGTGTTCCTAGGAGGCCCATCTATGGCAGTGGAGCCACCAAACACAAGTTGAGGAATTCCCAATTTTCAAAGCATGAGAGATGTGGGATTAAGGCGTTCTCCCCAACGAGATCATAAACTCCTGCAGGCAGGGGGTGAGATTTGTATTTCTCTTACATTCTTCCTCACGACTGTACGAGTCTCATAAGCTATCATTCATTCATGCAACAAATATGTGCTGAGTGTGCCAGGAACAAAGCAGACAAAGATCCCTGCCTACATTTTAGGAGGGAAGTAGACAATAGACATGATAAATAAGTGAAATATGTAGTATATTGTATAATGATAAGTGCTAAGAATTAAAAATAAAGGGGGGAACGGGAGAGGATGCACTGGGCAGCCATTGTTGACATTTTAGGCAGGGCAGCCTTGCTGATAAGGTGCTATTTGATTAGAGAATGAAGAAAGTGAGAACACGAGCCAGGTAGGTTTTTGTGGGAAGAGCGTTCCCAGGAAGCACGGCGAACCCGAGGCTGCAGCCTGGCGGAATGTTCCAGGAGCGCTGGGAGGCCAGAGCAGTGGGAGGACAGAGGGCAGGAGAAGAGTTAGTAGAAGACGAGTTCAGCGAGGTAACAGGGGAGTGCGTTATGAAGGGTCCTGCAGATCAAAGTTGGGACTTTGAGTGAAAAGATGAGCCATTTGGGACATAGGAGCAGAGGAGTGACATGATCTGACAACATTTTAACAGGATCCCTCTGGCTGCTGCGTTAAAAATAGCCTGAAAGGAGGCAAGGGCAGAGCCAGGGAGACCAGTTAGGAGGTTACTGCACTAACCATGGACCTGCTTTGAATTGAAATTAAAGCAGAGGTGTCTAGCCTAGGGCCTGTGTGAGAAGAAACACTCAATCACCATTTGTTGGGGGAAAATATTGAATTGAGTCTTTTCGCCAGCATTATGGTGCCTGAAAGAACAGCCAAGGGGACGTTGCTTCTCGACCTGAACAAGTTCTGCTTTGATGATGACAGTGAGGCACCAAACAACAAATTCAACTTCACCACGCCATCTGGAGCAGGGAGCAGCGGCAGATTTTTACAGGATCCAGCTGGCTCTGGGAAAATCGTGGTCAGTTAATGGTCATTGCTTCATTAAAAGGGCATCGGGGAGTGGTCCAACATGCATAGAGCTTTTGCTGCCCCACAGAGAGAAATTTCCAAGGTAACCCCCTCTCCGAGCGACTGTAACTGACAGACTTAATAGCGGGTCTGCGTTCCCCATTCGCTCTTTATTTTTCCCAGGTCTGGGAACCGTTTGTTATGCATAGCTGTGCCTGGGGTGCTAAAGACTGGATTCTTTCTTGCGTAGCATGCAGTTTGCGTGCCTGCTTAGCGTGCCTTTATAGACACATTAGTGCCCTCTGTGCTCCAGCGCTTTTGTTTGTTTGAGTGCTCTTTCCCAGCCCCTAGAGGTGTGAGGTGAGAGAAAGCAGGGCCTTGAGTGTATCTGGATATATTCCACTCCTGGAACCACCGGAGACCCAGGGCAGTGAGCATGGGCAGGGAGCCCTCGTCCCAGCCACTCCACAGGGGCAAAAGCAGCACTGAAGAAGGATGGGCATAAAAGGGGGGTCTCAACAAGCTGTGCGAGACCTTTATTTACAGGGCTCCTGCTGGAGGACGGTGGGGAAGGAGAGGAAAATGGAAGGGCAGGGCAGGCAGGTGGGGTCTGGGGTTAGAGACCGAGCTTCAGGGAGGACAGCAAGCAGCCCTCTCCATCCCCTCCCCTGCCACTGCTCCGCTGCCGTCCCAAGCCCTTCTCAACCCCCAAGAAAGTCTCACCAACTTGATTCATAGTGTCCCCTAAAAAATAATTTCTGTTTAGGAAATTAATATACACTCACTGTAGAAAACGTAGAAAGCACACAAAAGCATTGTTACCATTGAGTGATAACCACTGTTAATATTTTGACATATTTCCTTCTTGTCTTTTTTCTGTGCATATATTTTATACATATTTACATAAGTTTTTAAAATACAGTCATCCCCCTTCATCCACAGGGTATATGTTTCAAGGTCCCCTCCTGCCCAGAGGATGCCTGAAACCTCAGAAATTACTGAACCCTAAATATACTATGTTTTTTCCTATATGTACATTTCTATGATATAGTTTAATTTATAAATCAGGCACATAAGAGATTAACAATAATAACTAGCCATGGAAAAATCGTAACAAAATACTATAATCACAGTTACGTGAAGCTGGGTGCGGTGGTGTACATCTGTAGTCCCAGCTACTCAGGAGGCTGAGCTGGGAGGATGGATTGAGGCCAGGAGTTCAAGGCTGCAGTATGCTATGATTGTGCCTATGAATAGCCACTGTATTCCAGCCTGGGTAACAGAGCAAGATGTGTCTATAAAAATAATAATTAAAAACATTATATGAATGTGGTCTCTCTCTCAAAATATCTTATTGTATTTCACTCTCCTATTTTCAGACTGCTGTTGAGTGCAGGAAACTGAAACTACAGACTGAGGGGGCTACTGTAATGAAAATATCCCTGCACATAAGATTCAATATTGTGCTTTTCTTCAACAAATCTGAAGTCATGAGCCTATGCTACTGGGCAATAGTGCTTGATGAACATCTTTGTTCATAGATTCTTTCTCCTGATAAGTTCTTTCCATAAATTCTCTAGTAGTGAGCAAAGGTATGGTCATAACTGTATAAAGCTCATTTTTTTTTCTTTACATTCAGAGCTAATTAGTAATTAAAGCTCTTCATTTTTATGGGCAAAATGCTTTCCAGAAAGGCTTTACCAATTTACATATCCACTAGCAGTATATGAAACTGTCTGTGTCAGTTCAATAAGTAGGATTGTTTATTCTGTGTAAGCTAATATCTCTGTTTTAATCTAGTTGATTGGTGATCTAGATTATGAAAATCCAAGCAATCTAGCAGCCGGAAATAAATACACAGTGATAATCCAGGTGCAGGATGTTGCCTCTCCTTACTATAAAAGCAAGTATCATTTTGATTTATTTCATGAGCATCTTCCTTGAGTAGCAATGACTAAGCTACGCTAGGCAGTGCTAGATATTGTGCCAGGTCCTCCGTCCCATAAGCACTGCTCTGGTGCAGGGGGCTCCTGTTTCTTGGCTGAATTACAACACTTAAAATAATCTTTTAAGGGTCTCTCTGCCTTCAGTCTTGCCCTTTTCCAATGCATCCTCCCCATATCTGGCAATGATTTTTTAGGAAATGCAAATGCCATCATATTACTCTCTTGGTTAAAGCACTTGAGCGTTTCCTGTAGCTTGTCAAGTTCAAGTTCAAACTTTGACTTGGCATACGAGGATTTTCATCATCCAGCCACTGCTTAAGCCTCGAGCTTCAGCTCCTGTCACTCGCCTCCAAGCCCCCTTTCTTTCCAACTGGGCCAAATAGCTTGCAGTTTTGCTGAGCGAGTTATGCAGTTTTATATCTTGGTATTTTTGCATATGCCTAGAACACCCTGCAATCCCGCCCCTGCCCCATTCGTCTAAGCCTGTGCTTGTAAAGCTCAGCTCGCACGCACATCTTCCTGGAAGCTGCTCCTCCCCCAGGGCTCCACCGTGATCTGTATGTACCCGGTCTATGTAAGGGTGACCACCCTCAGCATCTTGAGAGCAGGAGCCGCCAGGTCTTGTTCAGCTGGTGTCCCCGGTACACGAAGCCTGTACGCAGAAGGTTCTTTAAAGATGTTGAATAAACAAATGAATAAGGATTGGCAATTAAATTTGTTTCTGTTTCCATTTTTAGATAACATCTACATTTATATCTTAACAAGCCCAGAAAACGAGTTTCCTCTCATTTTTGATAGGCCATCCTACGTGTTTGATGTGTCAGAATTAAGACCGGGTAAGTAGCAGACAAGATGCCGACCACTGTGCTCTGGATGGATTCCATCCAAATGCATGTCGTGCAGAGGGGAGAACTCCCTCCCAGAGGCCCCAGTGGTGTTTTGCACAGTGATTCACAGCTGATTAGTATTTATTGCACCTCTTATTTCTTTTAAATTTTCTTTGCTGCTGAGGAGCCCTTCAGGTGAAACTTGGATTTTGAAAACTGTTGATTAAACTGCATTTTTCTGAAGCCCCTGATTGCTTCCTTGTCTGTTTGCCTGATTCCGCTAATCCTCCCTTTTTGTAGCCTAAGTTGTCTCTTGGTCTCCGCAGTGATTTTTATCCAGCTCACTCAGAGGATTGAAATTTTAAAAATAGAAAAAAGGTTTCCCATTTCTATATTTCCTTCATTTAAAAGCAAAATAAAGACATTTTCTGTCTCCCCTACTAGGATTCACTAGAGGCTTCTTTTCTGCCACTTAGGATACCCTGATTTTGGCAGGCTCTTCTCTTACTAAAGAGAAGATCTCTCACATCTAGCTTCAGTTTCTCCCTAGCTCTTCCAGTTTGAAGGTAATACTGTTAACTCTCTAGTACTGCTGTCCCCAACCCCTGGGCCACAGACCGGTACCAGTCCACGGCCAGTTAGGGATAGGGCAGCAGAGCTCTGCCAGCTGCCACCCCTCCCCTGCCCATTCGTGGAAAAATTGTCTTCCATGAAACCATGGGGCACACAGCAGGACATGAGCAGCAGGGTGAGCAAGCGAAGCTTCGTCTGTATTTACGGCCGCTCCGCAGTGCTTGTATCACCGCCTGAGCCCACTTCCCCCCCCCTCCCATTCATGGAAAAACTGTCTTCCATGAAACTGGTCCCTGGTGCCAGAAAGGAAAAAGGTTGGTAGACTCCCCACAGCTTTTTATCTTTAGCTCATGAGTACTTCTTCCATATTAAACATACCAAACCAAACCAAACCAAACCCATAAAATTCCTTCTAAAATGATCTCCTCTCCATTTTATTCTCTCTTTATTTCTTGACTTTAAGTTTTAAGACAAAACACAAGATGAAAGTCCGAAGAAAAAGCTTTTAATTGCTTATACGTTAACCAGTGAATAACAGGAATAGGCCATCTGAGCTCACAGATCTTATTTCTGATCACCTACTTCGGGTCAGGCACGTAGTGCTGGAGCTACAGAATTGAGTTAGAGAAGGTTTCTGTCCTTGAGGAATGAAATTTATGAGAAGGAACTCCTATAACACAAGCAATCCAGAACTCTAGCAGTGTCACCAACAATTTCTCGAATAAGCATAATGGAACAGTATTACTCCAAGCTATACTCTAATCATCAGTTGCTAAATTCTTTAAAAATTGTTTATTTTTTCATCTGGCTTATAAAAGCAATTCATTCTCATTGTAGAAAATTGAAAAATACAAGAGACTTTTAGACACTGCAGCAAAAAGATGTATGTGTAAGGATGGATGTTCTTTGCACTGTTGTTTATGATAGCAAAATAATTGGTATTCTTGGAGTCTAAAGGCATGAATTGTCTTTTATACCTCATAGTACTGCTGGGATCATAGGACCAGTTACCTAGTGTGTGCTCATTGGCATTATTTGAACTTAATAGAACGGAAAATATAAAACATACAGAGTTTGAACAGCAAGGAGGCCTCCAGAAGTCTTCTTGCCCATGGCAATGAGGACATCTGTTTCTGGATCATCCTCTCCCACCTCCCCAAGCTGGACTAACTGCAGGTACTTTATTTCTCCAGCTAGAACCCGAGTCGGAAAGGTGCAAGCAACTGATAAAGACTTCCCCCAGGGCAGCGTTGTGTACTCCATCTCCACCGGAGGGGCCAGCCTCCAGTACCCAAGCATATTTTGGATTAATCCTAAAACGGGAGAACTCCAGCTAGTAACTAAAGTGGACTATGAAACAACCCCTGTCTATATTCTCAGAATCCAGGCCACCAACCGCGAGGACACAAGCTCAGTCACTGTGAGTGGGGCCGTTTGGTATATTCCCACTAACCCGGCTGGTTGACTTAGGGTCCGCCTGGCACCCCCAGGGTGTGATTGCCTCAATGAGGAAACTTCACAGGGCACATCCTGCCAATATGATGGGAAATGGGTAGTGGTGCCTGGGAAATAAAGATTCCTGTCTTTCTTTGAGACCCAAATTTGTGGGTGACTGAGAGAAGCACTGAGATTGATGGCCAGACATTGGAATATCTGCTGAACTCATAAAGCCACTTTATGGGACAAAGTTCCTCCCATGGTCGTTTAAATCTCACTTTGCTTTTGTGGTGGGCTGGTGGTGAGACGCCCATGGCCCGGAAGTCAGGTGTGGTGGCTTCAGAGTTATGCATTTCGCCCTCTAGAGCAGTTTTGCCATGTCTCTGCTCCACCCCTGTACACATCAGATAGGGCAGATCTTAAAATGACACTATGCTGCTGTCCTGCTTCCCAACTGTTGATGCTGAGAATCTTGCAAAATGCAGATTCTGCGTCAGTAGGTTTGAGGCCTGAGATTCTGCATGTCCAACATGCTTGCGAGTGGTGGCAGTGCGGCTGGCCCCACAGCCACGCTTTGGGTAGCAAGGGTCTAATAGGCCCGTGTCGGCAGCGGTTAGGATTATCTGAGGGCAACATGACGGCCACAAAGACCCAGCTATTCCTTGGTCTTTCCCATTAGTAAAGTGAAAAGGCATGAAGGCAGAATGAACTCTGAGCTAGCAGCAGGCAGCCCTGCGTGATACAGGCAATGATTGGTTCAGAGTCAGGAGACCGAGTTCATTTCTCAACTTTGATCCCAATTTTCGGACAGAGTCTGAGCAAGCCTTATCTCTGTGTCCCTATTTCTCTATCTCTTAAATGGAGAGTCACCTGATAACCCAATGCCTGGATAGTCTGGTCCCTCTGATGACTTGCTTTGAATTAATGGGATGGTGTTTTTAATGATACGGAGGCGCAGCATTGCTAGCGGAGGAGAGTCGGAGATAATTGCGGTGTTTGTTAGGCTGGGTTTTTTTTTTTTTTTTTTTTCCAGAAAAATGAATGGACTCCACCTTGGGAGCTAACTAGAGTGAACATTTCAATTTATTCCTGGGCACAGAAATAGCTGAAATCCCCAAATTTCAAAGGTAGAATGAATACGACTCAAAATTCATAAGCTTTTAAAAAGGGTGATGAACTAAATGATCACACAAGTCCCTTTCAGGGCTGACATTCTATGATGCTGTGCTGGCAGGCGTCCCAGGCTATATTCCAATTCGCCAGGCGTAAAAGACAGCGCTGAAAGAGAATAGGCCGGCCCTGGGCGCGGCAGGTTAGCCCCAGGGCTGAGTGCGGTGCTAATGGCCCAGGTTACAGACGCGATCCCAGCTTTACCAGGCCCACTTGTTCTGACCCAGTGGGTCTTAGCCCCCTGCATATTAGAATCAGCTGGGGAAGAGAAGAAACGTACTCTGGGCTCTACTCTCCAGGGATCCAATCCATTTGGTTTGAAGTGGGCCCAAGAAAGTGGACCAGGGTCAGATGTGGTTTCCATTGCTGTATATGCTAAAGATAAAGACTGCACTTCCAATACACAAGGGGCAGCAAGCAAGGAGACACATAGGGTCATCACAAATCCACACTACTACTGGAAAACCACCCAGCATCATCTGCAGGTGAGCCCAGGTGTCTCGGTGCATGTGCGTGGGGCGTGTGCGTGTATACATCTACTATAGGCACACATACACGTGCACACAGTGTTGAAGTTAAAAGCACAGGATTTAGAGTAGGACAGACCTGACTTCAAATCCCAGCCCTGCCACTCGCCAGCTGAATGGGTTCAGGTCCATTACCTAATCTCTCCAAACCTCCATTTCCTTATCTATAAAATGGGAATAATTATGTTATCAATCTCATGTGAGGTTAAATGAGCTAATCCATGCCAAGTGCTTAGCCCAAAAGTGCTGGGCACACAGCAAACACTCAAAAAGTCTCAGCTGTTAAGAATGACCACCTTCTTGCTGCTCTAGGTGACTGTGAACATCCTGGAAGAAAATGATGAAAAGCCAATTTGTACCCCAAACTCTCATTTCATGGCCATCCCCGTGGATCTGAAGGTTGGCACAAATATTCAAAATTTCAAGCTGACGTGTACTGACCTTGACTCCAGCCCCAGATCGTTTCGTTATTCCATTGGCTCAGGTACAGTACTTGGTGGTGACAGCCCTGGGCCCTGGCTCTGAGGCCTCCACAGTTGTCTAAGGAGAACGTGTTGGGGTCTGTGCTCACACCTGGATCGGGGCACAGTGGGGTTGAGGGTGACAGGGGTATTTTGGATGAGGGAAGCAGAGATGGGGAGTCTAATGCTAGACTCCTCTTGGCTTCCCCTTCTTCCCTAACTCTTCCCACACCCCAACTCATGGCACCCAAAGGCCCCTAAAAGGGTAAACCTCATTGATGGTGAACCCCCGCCCCCCGCAATTCATGATTATGAGTCATAGGTCATATTAGCATAATTTAAAAAATTAGTCCAACTTTTCAACCACCTCTTTTACTGAAAGCTTGTCATGGGGGCAGGGAATCCCAGTCCTCTCTCTGCATAATAATAGATTAAATAGATTAAATGCATTTTGAAATGTGTCCTCAGGAGTTCTCTTGTGCTCCATTCATTTTATCTTTTTAAAAATATACCATTGTGGAGAAAAAAGAGCACCCCTCAATGGAAATTAGACCAAAATAGCTCATCTAATGAAGTGCTGAGGCCAGAGATTTAAACCCAAACAAGCAGAACAATTCCACGTGAAAGAGTAAAAATCCATCTCTGCTGCCTGCTGAGCCCTTGGCAGGGCAGGAACTCGAACAGTAGGAAGCCTCTCGAGCTGGCTGTGTCACAAAACCCAGGGGCAGAAACTGCCTCGAGACTGCAGTTGCTGAAGATGGAAATAATCCATACTGAGAACCCTAAGGCCTTATGGAGCACTTTGCTGCTAAGGGAGCAAAAATTGCATCTTCTCCTGCTCCATTTACCGGGGTTCAGTCAGTAATGAGTCTGGAGCCGGTGGAGGAGTGAGCGCGTGTGCTGGGCTGGCGGCCTTTCTGCCCCGGGCTCCGGGAGCTGAGCTCTGGGCCCCAACAGAGCTGGTGGAGCTGGGTGTGTGTTTAGGGTGCGATGGGTGGGTTCAGGAGGACCTGGGGCTGCAATCCCTGCAAAGCCAGGAGGAATCTTCCTTTGGGGGGCTCCAGGGGCATCCGCAACCAGTGTGCCCAGCCGGGTTCCATGACAGGCAGGAGGAGAACTCGGCCTATGGCTGGGGATGTGACCTGTTCTACCCTCTCGCTGCGCACTCATTTGTCTGAGTGTGAGTTATATGTGCTGTTAGCAAACAAATGCCAGATGATAAACTGCAAGGGGCTGCACCAGGATTATGAAGTCTCTGCCTGACGCTGGGCAAGATGGCACGTAGGACAGGTGTCGGATGGGTGCGCTGTCGTCCTTTTTAACTCATTCTTGCCTGCAGCCACACCAGTTGTGAGCAAGAATTTCTTTGCATTAGTGAAATCTCTGGTGCAGAGATTGCATATCACTAATCCAGCCCTGGTGCATCAGAAACACCGTCTATACTCGAGGTGTGGGCATTTGAGAAAAAGACCGAGTGCAATTTTCTTCTAAACCTTTTTTTCTCACTCTTTTTTCTTCTTTTTACCAAAATCCTTGCATCCAATCTCATTTAGGCAACATCAACGGTCATTTCACCTTCTCTCCTAATGCCGGGTCCAATGTGACACGCCTGCTGCTCGCGTCTCGCTTTGACTATGCTGGGGGCCTTGACAAGATCTGGGACTACAACCTCCTCGTCTACATAACTGATGACAACTTGCTGTCCGGCAGGAAGAAAGCGGAGGCTTTTGTTGAAACAGGGACGGTGACACTGAGTGTTAAAGTCATTCCCCACCCGACCACAATCATCACCACAACCCCCAGGGTAAGGACTTTGGGATCTGGAATCCCAGCCACATTCCTTTGGTATTTATGTTGATGGAGCCCTTTGACCTGGGAGAAACATGGGATGGACTGAAAAGAGCTAAGGTGTTAGGATGTTGCCAAGAATGACAACCACGGGCTGTGTTGGAGCAGCCACTGGTGGTGACGATCAGGGTGAGAACTTGGATTTGCAAAACCATTAGCGTTTCCTATTCTGGGAAAGTGGAGTGTGCGTTTGTGCAGGGAGAGATCAGACGCTAACACCTGTGCGGGGTGCGTGGCCATTTGCTACCTCCATAGCCTCTCTCTGCTTGTTCCTAGGAGCCACAGCAAGGGCGTGTCCACATGATCAGGCTGCCAGCTGTCACCGCGTGTCAGTCTGTACCCCACTCCCCACCTCCACTCCAAAAACATTCATCCAACCTACAAATATCGATCTAATGCCTATAATGTGCCAATCATTTCAGTGAACATGCTCCAGATGATCCCTGTTCTTATAGGTCAGTGGTTCACAAAGTGTAGCCCCCAGGCCAGCAGTGTCAGCGTCACCTGGATACTTGTTAGCCATGCAGATTCTCAGGCCCACCCTAGGTTGTTAGAGCTGTACCTCACCCAACTGTGCCCGTCACCATGACCGCCAGGGGAGGACGCTGGGGCCTGGAATCCCCAACTCCATCCCCTGACCCACTGGATCGGAAACTCCGGAGGTGGGGCCCGCAGTCTGTGTTTCTGATAAGGCTTCCGGGGACTTCTGATGCACACTAAAGTTTGAGAGCCACTGATCTGTGGTGGGAGTAGATAATAAACAAGTACATAAATTAATAAAATGAAAACAGATTGTGGTAAGTGGCAGGACAAAAACAACCAGGTGCTGTAGCAGAATCGGTCTGGGGAGGGAAGGGAGAACCTTGCAATCGGGCAGCAGGATTATGTCCCCTGCCCCTCGGAGGAACTGGCCTGCATTACGCAGGCTCTTTTGTCCCCTTTTGTCCTCTCCTCCTAGTAAAAGCTGCAGCCCTGGTCAGTAATCTCATACTTATAGCACGCCAGAAGAAAAGTAATCAGAACCTTAGAAAACCACCTATGGAGGAGGCCAACTTCTGCTTCTCAGGGTCTTACCAAGAGCTGGTTGACGCTCCTCTGTCCAGCACTCGGGTCAGTGAGACCCCAGTGAATGGAGGCGAGTGGCACCCCTAAGGGCTTTCCGTTGTGACAGCAGCTAGCAGGCACCTTTGAGTAGGGCGTTGCCACCTTTCTTGGGCTTAACAGCATGACCTGCGTGTGGCATCTGCAATCCTGACATCTCCGCAACTCGTCTGTTATCTGCCTGCAGCTCTGGGAAGCAGATGCTGAACTCGGGCGTCTCTGTGCTATCAGCCCACTCATCTGGCAGTGGCAGCTTGTAGTCGAGAGAACGCTGAAAAGCCTGCAAGGTGTTAAAGAAACAGCTTTCATGGCTCATGCCTTCTCAGTGAGAGACAATGGCTATATTAGGCCCTGGGTTATACCCAGATATGGCGGGAAAAAAAGCCAATGGACTTTTTTAGCTTTGGGGAAGGGGAGGAGAGACAGAATAAAATTAGGCTGGAGTCGCTCTTTAGTTCTCTAAATTCCCTGGGTTCTGATCTAATGGATGTCTATGAAGACTATAAATATGGTGACGGGTTGAAGCAGCAAGAGCTATGAGCATACAGATGTTCAGTTTATAGAGCAAGAACAAAGAGTGGAATAAACACTCACACGAGGAGATACTGAGTGTGAAAATCGCCACCACCCTTCGCTCACCCTCCCCACGCTCGTTGTTCCAGCCCATGATCACCTACCAGGTCCTGAGGAAGAACGTTTACTCTCCGTCCGCGTGGTATGTGCCCTTCGTCATCACTCTGGGCTCCATGTTGCTTCTGGGTCTCCTGGTGTCCCTGCTCGTCCTGTTGGCCAAGGCCATCCACAGACACTGCCCCTGCGGGACTGGAAATGACAAGAAACCTCTGTAAGTGGCCACTGGGCTGGCTCTTTCCTCCACTTCCTTCAGGGCATTGTCCTGGCCATCTTAGGAGGAGAGACGGAGAACCAGGATTTCTCTATGGGGCAGGTGCCTGGATGAAAGAATCCCTGCTCTTCTCTGTCCTGCCGCACCTGCTTTGTCACCTGCTGGGCCAGGATACCATTCCTCTGGCTTTTCCTGGCAACCTACCCTGTCCTTGAGGGGGCTCTCAATGGAATTGGGACATCAACCTTTTGGTGGCCTTGCCCTGGGTAAAAGCTTCAGAAAAGCCCTATTGTGAGTAGTGATAGAAATTTACAGAATATTTAAAGGGTGGGATGGAATTAAAGGTGAAAAACTGATAAGGGAATTAAGCTTTTGGCTCCAGTGATCCCTCTGTGTTTCTATGTAACTAAATAGTCATTGTTCTTCTGCACGTGGCCCCTGTCTCTCACTCTCAATGGCCCCTTCCTATTTTCATCTGCTTACTAAGAGGCCTCTGCTTGTGACAATCTGTGGAGTGTCTTTACTGGCTAAAGTGAAGCAGTAAAGTGAAGTGAAGAGGGCATCTAATGGTTACCCACATCTCCCAGAGCCAGGTTTTCTGATTCTCAGCAGCTCTTACAACTAGAGCATAATGGTTCTGAGCCTGAGTTTTGGAGTTAGGCAAGGCCTGGGTTCAAATCTTGACTTTACCATTTTCTGGGTATATGGCTTTGGGCAAGTGACAACCTCTGTGAACTTCAGTTTCCTTATTTGTAAAACTAAACAACTAAATGAGCAAATGCAAGCAAAGCACGAAGCACTGTTCTGATACAGAGTAAACACTTAATACATCACAGCCATTGTTTTTCTTATTTCATTATTCTTCATGGCTGAATCCCAGTGAGTTTGGGACACTAGATTCCAGTTTAGCTCCATGCCCAGTATCTTGAGGCATTGAAACCTCTGAATTTCAGGATCTCTCAATGGCAAAAAGAAGGGATGATAAGACTTATGTGCTTTTTAAAGGTATTTTAGATTATTAACAGTCAAATTATTAACAGTGAAAGATTGTAAAAAAGTATAAGGCATCAGCATGAAGATGTGCATTGTGTTTTGCCATATTTATTGGGGAAGTTTGTTGCTATTGGCAACCTTGACTTCAAGGTAAAAATCCTTGAGCATCTGCTGAAATTAAAAAAGGCATTTTTGTTTGGACTCTACTCACAAATTCACTGGGGGGAAACCAACCTAATTCTAAAAGGGTGACACTTAAGCTTGTAAGGATGGTGGCACACTGTAATGGGATTTGGGTAGAAGTTCTGCAACTCCATGTAATTTATGGCTAAATGTTAAATATACACCTTGAACCTGGTTATTTAACTTATATTATAGATACAGTTTTTAACATGGTGGACTTAGAAAAGAAAAACTAGCTAGAAATTCAGATCAGACCCACCTCTCTGGAAATTAGTTGCACCATACCATGGCCAACATTTGTCAAATAAGAAAGAATAAAATTAGAGTTTCAGAATTACAGAATCCAAGGTTGTCATGGGAAAGGTCTTAGAGTCCAAATCCAGCTCTTCATGAGACAGGAAACCCAAGTTTAACTGCCAGCATGCAGACCTCCCCACAGTGAGCCATGCCTTCTGCTCAGCCGGCTACTGGGGAGGAAGATGGGGCAGTCCGACTGGGTGGTCATGACCTCACCAGGTGTCCTCATCACAGACAGCATATTCCCTGAAGCTCTACAAGCTGATAGCTTTTAAACTCATCAAATTCCCAGAACCTCCCCAGCCCAAAACCAATGTGACCGAGCTGCGCAGTTGGAAGCAGAGCTGTAGCCTAGCCCCTGAACCCCAAGGAACACAGTTGCCCAAAGGACCCCTTGTTATCATGTGTGTGCCAGGGCAGAACATTTTCAAGTTAATTAATGTCCATTCCTTTTTTCCCTCCCATAGGGTGAAGAAAGGAGGTAGGTAGAACACTTATTTCCTTTGTTTGTTGTTTTCTGCTCTGTTGTACTATGGAAAAAGGCTCCAACTCAGCAGAGAATCATGGCGCCATGGTGCCTTGGCGGGGTTTCAGCTGCATCACCTGTGGGAGGAATGAAGCAGAGGTCGCTGTAGCTGGAGGAGGGGAAGGGAGGGTGCGCAGTGCCTTTGGCCCACTTGGATCTCTCACTTTGGTCCTGCCTGTGCCCTACCCAGGGCCATGTCCAGTCAGCTCAGCTCAAGCACCTAGGTCTATTCCCCACTGAGTGGGACAGAGATAAAGAACTCTCCATGTGGGAAACACAGACAGTAACTGCTGCTGCTGCGCACGGAGGGGTGTGCTGAGGACAGCTAATGCTCTATTTTGGGTGCCTGCCTCTTTTGAAAGAACAAATGATACTTGATTCTCAGATTCTAATGGATTCAATCATTTTCACAAATTATTTAAGTCAGACTAGTTAGAAAGGGGATCTAGGGGCAGTTAGATGAGCTGGGAGAACTGAACGATTTCCGGCAAGTTGGTAAACTGAGGAAGGTCCACCTGAACAGCTGCAGGCCAGAGGAGGTATCTTATCCTGGCCTAGCAGGTGAGTTGTGGCCTCAAGTAGACCCCAGGCTATGAGGAGAGACAGGACAAAAAATTGGAAAGTATTTTTTTAAATGCTTGCTTTAATCACCCCATCCACGGGTGTGTGCATCTGACATACACAAGGCATGTCTAAGCAGGGTTAGAAATTTGATTATTATGGTTATTGATCATAGTGAGTGAGATGATTTTAATAAATGACATTTTCACAAACCATCTCCAATCCCAGTTACTTTTCAAAAAGGGCATGAGGAGTGAGCTTAAAAAATCACGTTGTGAACAAATGTTTCAACCCAATCTTTCTTTCTTATCTCTAAAGCCATTTAAAAGCTAATTTTCTAGGTCCAGGGATAATAATAAGCTGGAAAAAGAGTAAAAAAATTTTAATTGTGTGTGTATAATATATGCGCATGCGTATATATTTTTCTGAGAAGATGGAAAGCTGTCAACAAACATGTCTACAGACAGAAAACTCCTTTGCTGTGTCTGCAAGACCGAGTTCAAAGCCTATTTAGGGGAAATCCCATTGTGGGGTGGAATTTTAAGGTCAATTTAATGCCCAAGAAGCTTACCTTCTGCCCGTTCTGTCCCCTGCAGAGATGAAGAATGCAGAGAGAGAGGTGTTGGTGGTGAGTCTGGCCAGCCGTGGGGCCCCTGGCTGGGGTGCTGGCTGGTGGGGGCCCCCATCGCCCCCCAGGCTGGCCCACCATAGCCTCGTGGAGGTGTTTGTCATTCAGGGAGGTGCTCGCATTTGGCCAGTGGAACAGGTTGCTGGGTGACGAGCTCCTGATAGAATTTGTTCCCTCCACTGAACATGTCTGCTGATATATTTGCAGAACTGGATTTCATAAATATTGAGCAGGGGTGTTTATTATCTACACCAGCTCTCCTGGAGAGCAAGTTGGAGGAGTGAAGCTTAAAGACCAGAACTGTGCTTCAGCCTCCAATGAGCTTTAATTTTTCTTTGCTCTTCCACAACCTTGCAGAAAAGCAGTAGAGAAAGCACTGCTTGGATCCGGGGTTGGCTCTGCCCACTCAGTCATATGACCCTGGGGACTCCCTCGGCCTCTTTGAGCTTTACATTTCTCACCTGTAAAATGGGAGCGAGGATGCCGGCCCTGACATAACAGGGGGGAAAATGCTTTGAAAATTGTTAAATGTGACACAAATGCAAAGTGTTACAGGATAGCTGGAGAGTCACCTCTCTGTCCCACCCACTGGACCTGGTCTGTCCACCTGGGAAGGGATGGGGACTGCCTCCAGCTCTTCCCCACCCCCTGACAATAAGACTTGGTCATAATCTGAGACCCATACATTTGGATGAGGGGGTCAATGCAGTGTGCTGGGATTTTAGGCCCATCCATCACCTAGTGCGTGCATGTTCTGGTCAGTCCACAAACAGCAGGAAGAGGCAATTTCTGGTCTGTGGGGTGCTATTGTCTAAGGCAAGTACCCTGGGGGATGCCACTCAGAGATCGCCTTAGAACTACCGTGTTTCCCCGAAAATAAGACCTACCCATAAAATAAGCCCTAACAGGATTTCTAAGCATTTGCAATATAAGCCCTACCCTGAAAATAAGACCTAGTGATGGGCGTGGCTACGCAGTGTATCTGCACAACCCATGCATTTCATTGAGGACGAGCAGCCCTTCTCATTTGCCCCATCATGACAGCTACAATCCCAGAGGTGACCAGAAAGGTGCAGGCAGCCCCACCAACAAGGTCGGCTGCCCCTGTCAGGTCCTGACCATCCTGTGTGTGCTGCAAGCTCAGGCTTTGAGGGGAAAATAACACATCCTCTGAAAATAAGCGCTAGGGTGTCTTCTTGAGGAAAAATAAATATAAGACCCTGTCTTATTTTTGGGGAAACATGGTATGTAATATTAAATTAATCTATTAGATAAATAAATCCCCAGGACCATACAAAATGGGGCTGCTTAGCTGGTGGAATGGGTGAAACCCATGTAATCCTCATTTTTCCCTCCTCAGAGTTGGGGCGCTGTAGGGAACTGAGAAGGTGATCATTTATGTGATGAAAACTGGGGATTGAAAGGCTTGCCAAACTCCAAGCACCATCCTCCTTGCTGCACTAGTGTACCTGACTTTGGTACCTACAGAGGGCGACCTGTGAGGGAAGGCAGTGTTTCCATGGGGAAAAGGGTCAAGTACATCACACAGGGTCAGGGCCTGGAGGGTGGCACAGAGTACAGATCAGGGGAGGGAGAGATAGGGAGCACAGGGCTTGGGTGAGGCCTGCATGCCATGCTGCACTGGCCTAGGCTAGGGCAGGCATCGGGAGAGGGTGGGAGTCCCAGGCACCTGGGGGCTCACCTGTGTCCAGCTTGCAAGTTCACCTGACAGTGATCCTACTGGGGCAGCATAGGTCTTAGCCTGTGTTGTGTGGCATTTCTACTCTTCCTTCTGCACAGCTTAGATTTCATTTACTCAAGATGCTTTCTTAACCCCCAGGTTCGGATTAAATGTCTCCCCCAGCCCCACCTGTGCCCCATAAAATGTCCTACATCTCTCCGATCATCTCCTTACCTGTTTGCCAGTGGCAAGTCTGGTGAGGCAGTAGCCACCCCTGCCTGTTCACCCCTGTGTCCCCAGCACCTAACACCGTGCCTGTTAGAGCCATAAATGTCAAGGAGGCTTGGGGTAAGGAACCTGGGCCGTGAGGATGAGCAGCCTTGCCTGGGGGAAGGAGTGTAGAGTTGTGCTTGACGCTGTCCCTTTCTTTCCTTAGGAAACCATCCAGGTGAACACTGTGTTTGATGGAGAAGCCATAGATCCAGGTAATTAAGTGGCGATGCCACCCATAAGAATGCTGTTCATGTTCCAGACTGGAAGAGTCGTGGAAGACTTTACCCAATTTCCTGCTCCTTACTCAGTCTGTCAATCGTTTTGGCTTCGTTGCCTACATAGTGCTGACCCTTCTAGACTGGAATACAACCTGAGTCCGGCTCTGAGCCCAGCCGGCTTGCACACGCTCCAGCTCCTGGCTGCCCGAGGGAGGCCTCGGCGGGCCTCCACCTAGAGGCTCAGGCCCCAGGTGACGCCGCTTTCTGGCCTCCCTTTCCAAATCACGAGCCCATTTAGGGAACTGGTGGGTTCAAGAACCCACATTTTTTCCTTCTCATTGGTACTCGCCCCCACCCCCCACCCCCATCCTTCCTGAATGCTCCTAATACCTCCGTATAAGTAGTGGAAGGTACAGAGAAATGGCAAGTTTCGCTTCTCCCCCCCCCACCCCTCGATCAGGGCCAAGAGTGTCTTCTTGGTCGGCAAGATGAACATAAGGTAAAGCTGGCCTCCAGAGCTCTCATCACCCCCGTGGAACCGGCTCCAAATTTAGCTCCTTTACACACATCCCTCCGCTTACAAAGGCTCAATTATAGACGTGAATAAAGGGAAGGAAACCAAATTCAGGAGGCAAGTGTGTTGGCTCCCTGCCACCCTCATGTGCAAACCGCACCGGTCCTCCTCGGAAGGAGGATGGCTCCTCTCCAGCGAGAGGCTGCTGCTGCTGCTGGAATTAAATTTCCCTCTATTATTAGGTACTTGTTACCATAATGTGCCCACATTAGCATAAGTGCTGGTGGGATCCTGAGCCCAGAGGCCACTCGTGCTGTATGGAAGTGGCGGGAGCAGGGGCCTGCCTTAAACCGGAGCTTCCAGGGTAAAAGCCCAGGATGACTTGTGCATTTTTGCATAGTCGAGAGAGCAAAGGAGGAAGCGATGTGCCAACTGGCCTGGGTGAACAAACACATCCGTTAGCATCTGCTCGCTCCGACACAGTAAGAATGCTCCCTTGCGTCGTCTCGAGTGGGGCCAGATTTGTGTGTCTGTGTCTGCAGATCTCTGCTAACCCAACACACATAAAAATCAGCCTTTTCTGCCTTACTGGGTGAATTCCTTTTTATAGCAGAGATCCAGGGGTCTTTGTAGACAAACAAAATAAATCAGAGAGTAATGAGTAATGCCATTAAAAATTGAAGCTAGGGCAGGTGGGACAGGGGAGGAGGGGATGGGTATATACAAACCCAACAGTAAGAGGTGCAACGTTTGAGGGATGGACACGCTTGAAGCTCTGACTCGAGGAGGGGGGGGCATGGGCAATATAGGTAACCTTAACACTTGTACCCCCATAATTTGCTAAAATAAAAAAAAAATTGAACCTAATTTATCTGAAGCTCACATGGAGTTCAAGACTATGTGGCCTTCTCATCTTGCAGTGGAGATGGCCACGAGACTCTCCTAAACATTTCTGTCCAGGGAGGCTTGATATTTGCTGCCCGTGTGGCCTGAGCCGGACAGGCGTAGAAGCGCAGGGCGAGGAGGGTCTGTGCTGTCCCCACGCCTGCCTCCTGCTGGGGCAGCCGCCTGCTAGCTTGCTGCTTCCTCCCTGGGAGTCAGAACAAGAGCAGAGCAGCAGACAGGTGGGGGAAGAGAGAATCGTCTGTGTTCCTTGCTTTAGATAATTGTATTTTTCCCCCCTAGTGACTGGAGAAATATATGAATTCAACTCAAAAACTGGAGCCAGAAGGTGGAAAGAGTCACTGATCCAAATGCCGAAACGGAAAGAGTCCAGCCCCCAGGCAGCTGCCCCACTCAGCGTCGCTGCTGGGGAAGGGATGGGGACGCTGAGATGTGCCAGCCGGGAAGAGCAGGATCCGGGTGGGAAAGTGCCGGCCGAGGACGCAGGCCCAGGTGCCAGGAATGATGCCAAGCCGGGCGCCCCAAAGGACAGAAACCCAGCCTTCACACGCAAGGTTTCCCCCAAGGTGCATCCGGGAAAGTAAACAGCGTCCAGTGGCCAGGCCTGCGGTGCAGCGCAGGGGAGGGACTGGCAGTCAGCGATGCTGCCTCCCCCTAAATTCTATGAGGGCAGCGCTGGGCCCTGATAGGTGTGAAAATGTGGGCTGGGGGAATTCACACATCCAGGGGCACAAATGGGATGTTTGACAAATTTTTCAACAAATAGAAAGGGGTTTGATCATACAGTTGCCTTTTTCTAAGATGGCCAGAAAAAGGGGTCTCAGAACTCCGGTCTCAGAACTACCTGTGCTTCTGATCAGTGGGACTATTAACTTCTGGACGCTGAATTGCTGTGTTCCTTCTTTGCATTGACTGCTGGGAAGCTCTCTCCAGCTCATCCTAGGAAGTGCACAGAAATTCCTGACAAAAATATTGAGGACCACCCTCATATCTTATTTTCCTGCTTTTATCTTAGCATCACCCAGATTTCTTATATAGTTCAATGCCACACCTTTGTAGGTTACCTCAAATCTTTTTCAAAATAAGCAGAGCAGTGAAGAAATGGACGAGTAAATAATGAGATGTGCATCTGGGAAGAAGAAAACACTATAGACACCTTCTTTTATTCTTTTTTTTAAAATTAATGTACTGTATAACATATGGCCAATAAAGTGCACAGATCTCAGCTGTTCAACTTGATGATGTGTAGACTTCTTCTAGAGGCAACCACTGTTCTAAGCTTTATCATCACAGATTCGTTTTGCCTTTTGTGAATTTCACATATGTGGAATTACACAGAATGTGCTCATTTGCGTCTGGCTTCTTTTGCTCGCAGCATCATGCCTGTGAGAGTCATCCATGTTGTGCTGTCTGGCAGGGGTCCAGTCCTCTTCATTGCTGTGTCTGGTTTCTTGGTGTGATTATACCACAATTTATTTATCCGTTCTACACGTGGGTGGCTGCTTCAGGTTTTTACTATTATGAACTACGGCAGCATGAACTTTCCTGTGAATGTCTTTTGACAAACATAAACAACTCACTGCTCTGAGCCTGTCTGTACCTGGGAGTGGGATTGCTGGAGCAATTGCCAGATGTTGCCAAAGAGCTCCAAAGTGGAGGCTCCAATTCACACTCAGCAGCAAACATTGAGGGTTTCACTTGCTCTCTATCCTTGTCAACACTTGGGATTGTCAGTCCTTTTAATTTTAGCCATTCTGGTTAAAATTACGCTTGAAGTGAAATCACTCTTTTTCTCAAGGCTGAAACAACACCTACCTTACCACCTACCTGCCCTGCTCCTTCCCACTTCCTGTGATTGGAGGGAGCCAAGGGACTCTGTCCAAACATACAACACAGACTCTCACCTGTAGGCATGAGCAGTGAGCAATGAACTGAGAATAAATGGTATTAGGATGTAAAAGGAAATGACACTTTCCAATGAGTGCCACGCAGAGACTGAGCAAGCCTCGCTTTAGCTCTATGCCCTGCTCCCCAGGGGCTGTGGTTCCGGCCCAGTAATCACAAGAAAGGACCAGGCAAGAGTCCCCTAGAGCAGCACCCCCTTCCCAGCTGGGCGTCAGGTGAGAGCCCACCAGGCTCCTGCGGGAGACAGGATCCATCCAGCAAATAAAGAACCGCGGAGAGAGCATTTGCTTTGTTAGCTGTGTGCTTATGCGCCAGTGTGACTTCTCGAGCAAAAGAAACATTTGTAAAATGCCCTGTCCTGGCCTAGATTGGGCGTGATTTATTAATAAGGGTTGGTTGCCAGGGAACTCCCTTGAATGGGTTTAAATTTTGCAAAAGAAGGCAGAGCTGTTCAGTCGTGTAGGTTAAAGTGGGTGAAGTGGCTGATTACCCATTTAAGACTTTGCAAGTCTGTGGGGCCCTGAGTAAAATGCCTTCCTCAGAAGCTCTCAGCTTCAATGCAAGTAAAATGAGGCTCTGAGAAGGCTGAAGGGGGACTTAATAACTGTTTATAAGCCCATTAAGGATGATTAAAAGGAGGCCAGTGAGCAGCTGCTCTTCCTTCTCCAGCGATGACAGGGCAGGAGGGAATTGTGCTTTATGGCCAGAAGAGGAGATTTAAGTTAGGCAGAGGGAGGGACTTCCTGGAGGCCGGGGTCTATCAGAAGGGCTCAGTGTCTTCCCTGGTGACAGCAGGAAGAGCCGATTGTCTTCTGAGTCCCAAGGCGAGCCCTGAGGCACTCAGGACTAGGGGAAGACCACACCAGGAGGAGAGATGGCCCCCATTACTTCCCCCCCCCCCCCCCCCCGTTTCTTTTGTGTATTTGGCTATTTGATTAGGGGAAATGCAGAAGTCTGGCGTCTAGGGCTGAGGCCACTTGGTTTGGGCCAAATACATTCAGGAATTGGACCATGTAGCGATCCATAATTGTTGAAGGCTTTGAAGTCTGTGTGGCAAGTTCTGACGTTGGAGCTTTTTGCTGTGCTCCTTGGAAAAGCAGGGTCAGCAACTCAGCCTGTGTGGAAAGCAGGAGGGGCTCACAAACAGAAACTGGGAAATGACACTCCTGCTCCTCGGAGCCCTTGTTCATGGCTGTGGTTCTTTATTTGCCTTTTTGCTTAATGTGTTTTGTAATGGCTGCGAAAATTAAGCGACAAAATGAGTGAACATTGAAAATGATCGCTACTGAAAGTTGGCGTTTCTCATTTCAAATTTAGTGTGTTTGTGCCTCCTATTCATTCAATAAATATTTATGGAGCGACGGCTGTGTGCCAAGTGCTGACTCATTAGTAAACACAGCAGCCCCGAATCCCTGCCCTTGCAGGGCTTACAGTCTGTCTCTGCAGCTGAGTGCAGCCTGCTGGTAAGCTGTTCCAAAGGTTTCTATTTCTAGTTGCATCCTGGCCTATTTGTTTCTTGGTTCCTTGAGTATTCCGTCTGAAAAATAAATTAACCCAAGCCTGGACTCTCTTTCCAAAGGAACAGATAATTCAGAACCATTAAAAAATTTTGTTTTTAAACTCAATGGGGCCCAGATACAGTGGCTCACGCCTGTAATCCTAGCACTCTGGGAAGCCAGGGTGGGAGGATCACTTGAAGTCAGGAGCTCAAGACCAGCCCGGGCAAGAGTGAGACCCCATCTCTAGTAAAAATAGAAAAATTAGCCAGGCACCGTGGCGCATGCCTGTAGTCCCTGCTACTTGGGAGGCTGAGGCAGGAGGATCGCTTGAGCCCAGGAGTTGGAGGTACAGTGAGCTATGATGATACCACTGCACTTTACCTGGGGCGACAGAGCGAGACCCTATCTCAAAACAACAAAACAAAACGTAACAAACTTAATGGGGAGCCCTTGTTGGGAAACAGTTGAGCTGCCCGAGTGGGCCCTGGCCTTGGTTATCATCAGGCCAGCACACTGTTCAGGCGCCTCCAGATGGCAGCTGTAAGCCACGTGTGACTGCTGCGCGCAGAAGATGAAAGCATCCTGCAGCCAGGGAGCTATTTGATCTGGAGGCAAAGGTCAAACATGGGGGCTGGGGACCCTCAGATCACCAAGACCCTCCTATGTGTCACCTGTAGTGGGGGCAAGATGTGGCTCCAGCTGCAAGGGAACAGTTCAACTGAGAAGATAACCAACTCGCTAAAAAGACACCCAGCAACCACGCAGGCACATGACGAGAACTAAATAAGTTCCGTATGCAGTGAGAAATCAGACGTAGCCAGAGCAGCCTCTGAGAGTATGATGGGAGACCTGGAGCCTGAAGGGGTCTTGAAGGTGGGGATGCATTCGAAGTGGAAGAGAAGAGAAGAGAAATTTTGAGCAAAGGCTAAAGCATTCAGAATCCTGGTCTTCAATCCATTTCCAGCCAATACTTGGCTTGTGTAACCTGGAGTGGCCTCTAATACAGAACCTCCTGGGCATGTAGCAAGCACTCAGTGAGTATTTGCAGAATGAGATTGAATTACACAGGCTTGTGGCTGGTTTTCTATCTAGGTCATGTAGCAGAGTCACAACTTTCTAACTAGATCTAGATAAACATTGTCATAATCAACACATAGATACTGAGTGCCTACGAGGTACCTGGCACTGTCCTAGGCTCTGGGGATACAGCAGTAGGTAAAACAGTGTTCTTAGTGTTTATATTTTAGTGAGGTGTGAAAGACTGAACATACAACCAGACCATATATACAAATAGAACTCTGACCCGCCCTGCAGCAACCTGTCCAAGAAACCTACTCCCTCATCTGCAATAAACACCAGGATGCCAGTGTACTATCTCTAGTAACAACATAGGAAGCTAAAAAATAACCCCTGTAACAATAGGCCCCAAATGGCCAGGTCTTGGTTAATAATTTTTGTCCCAGAGTCCAACTTAGGACCCATCAGAGACAGCCAAATACACACCCCTAACCCATCGCAGGGCATGCCCTGCCTCTCGTCAGTGCACCTGCGGCTTCCTCACGCCAGCAGCCTCTGATCAGGGCACACCCAAAGCCGTCCCTTTTTTCCTGAATACTCTGCTTGCCTTTGGGTCTCTCCCAAAACGTGAGTGCAGGTGGCAGACTCCTTTTCTATAGCAAGCTCGGGACAAGTAGTCTTCACTTTTCTCATATGGTTGGTCTTTGTTTATTTCCACTGGAATGATAGAAAGCTCTGATAAACATAGGATATAGTGATAAAATTATAAATATATATGTGTGTAAATGAGGTACATTAATGGTGGTGAATGCCATTGAGAAAAGTAAATAGGTCAGGGGTTATGGAGGGCAGGAGGGCCACTTCCCACAGGTGGTCAGGGAAGGTCCCTGAGGTACGGGGGCCCCAACAGAGTGGAGGGCTGGGCCGATGGCTGGCAGAGCCTTCCCTGCAGAGAGTGCAGGGGCAAGGGCGAGTTCAGGAGCAGTAGGAGGACCGGGGGAGTGGACCACAGTGTCGGGGGAGGTGGGTGAGTGTGTGTGTAAGAGGAGGCTGGGGTTATGTGGACCATGGGGTGTGCGTGGAGAGGGCCCGCAGGCCATTGTCAGGACCTTGGCTTCTATTGCAAGTGAGATGGGAGCCATGGCAGGGTGTTGAGCAGAGGACTGGCTTGACTGGCTTCTGGTTTGAAAGCATCTCCCTGCTGATTTGAGAATAGACTTCAGGAAGGCAGGCATACGGGTGGAAGTAGAGAGAGCGATCAGGAGGCTATTGGAGTCATCCAGGTGTGAGATGGCAGTGGCTTGGTCCAGGGTGGCAGAGGTGGAGGACGGTGGAAGTTCTATGACACCTATTTGAAGGAGTGTCCCAGATATGAAAGAAGTGCTCCGTTCTCCTGGGCCCCATTCCCGTATCAGATAAAGGTTCCCCACAGAGTTTAGCCACTCCTGCAGTGGGAGCTGCCACACACAGTTATTTTAGACGACACTGGACAGTTCTCCTGAGTGGGACTGCCCCACGCTTAGTCTGCAGCGGGGGATGGCGGGTGTGTGCACGCACATAAGTGTGTTGGGAGAGTAAAGAGACTCCCTCAGTGTCCCTGCTACACTGAACTTCCTGGCAAGACTCCAAACAATGCTCCAAGGAAACAGAGGAAGCAGGCTGCCCAGTGTTTCTGGGCTGGGTTCTGTGCCCTGCTGTGAAGACGGTTGCGGCACCTCGCTCAAGCTGAACGGTGCGTTATCAGACTGGCTCTCAGTCTGAAAAAGTACAGTTCTGATTAAATGTCAGGAGACCTGAGTTGTAGGAAACTCCCCAACTTTTGTCTGTGCCTCTCCAAAGAGTCTACGTTCCTACAAAACTTGTCTGTTTGGGGGAACGGAGGAAGATGAGTGGGTCCTGGAAAACCGGGGCCTTATGCCCACATTTTTGGAGACAGTCCCTACTTAAAATGGCTTATCCTGGTGTCCACGTGAGTACAAACCATAGTTATCTGTCCTGATGTCTGGTCTGGAAAACATGATCCCTGCAAGTTTTGAGACCAAGGCAAGGCATGCTCAGGACTGTGCATTCCCCCCGCGCGGTGCCTGCTGGGTGAGGCTGGCCCGGGGCTGGAGCAGGCACCCTGTTGCTCAAGCTCTGGGCCCCAGCACGCTCAGAGGCCTTGTAATTTCCACGGTATTCAGAAACAGTGTGTGACTGCGGCAGCCCCCCTCAGGACTGTGCAACCGAGGGAGGGAAGCTGGTTAAGCTGATTTATAGGCGAAGCTCACAAGGACTCCACTCCCCGCACAGCCCATCTCATTTGTTGGTGCATGGACAGAGCACACTCCAGCTGGCGTGCTAAGGGTCTTTTTTAAAAAAATAACAGCTTCATTGTGATTTCTCTTGGTGTATACCTTAAGAATGGAATTGATGGGTCATATATTTACTTTTTTGAGAAACTTCCAGAGTGTTTTCCACAGCAGCTGCACCGTTGTCCATTCTCACCCGCAGTGCATGAGGGGTTCCCAAGATTTTCAAAACCACAAGTGAGGCACCATCAGCCCAGGCTGCACAGTGGGGCATTCAGCCCTTCCCAGATCCCATCCACTTGGACTTGAGCCTGGGTGTGGTCTGCAGCGCTCAGTGGACTTCACTGAGATTCACAGCGACACGACCTGAGCAGTCTGCAGCCAGGTCTCAGAAAACCTCGTGGTTGCAATGGTGTGCCTAATCTGAGCTGGGCACTCCACCTACATGATCTCTAATCCACATGGCGTGCTTCTGAGAACAGTCTGCATTTGGGGATTATATGCATTTTTACAGATAAGAAAACTGATGGTTGGAGAGGTTAGGGGATTTCCCCAGAGGTCACAGAACCAGGACAACCGCCTGGGTGTCTCTTCTCCAAGCCTGGGTGGGAAGGGCTCAGCTGTGGCCTTTAATCTGTGTTCTGATGGAGAAAGGGGTCGGGTGACTGGACCCCTAGATGGATCCTCTGGTTGAATAACTCTCTGCCCTGAAAGTTCAGGGCTTCTCATGGCTGCAGAAATCAAATCTTCAGGTGCAGAGTCAATATCAGTCTCGGGACAAGCAGTATGTTCTGAAAGTGGCCTGGCCTGCCAGGCTTGGGTTGAGGGTCTGAATAGCCCCTGGGCTCCCACAGCCCTGCTAAGCCCAGCACACTGCTTTGGGCTGTGTAAGAGTCAACGCACATCCCCTGCCTATCTGCCGCTCAACAAAAGCATTCACAAAAGCATTCTCGTCCTGGCGAGTATTCAAGCGCCTTCCAAGCCCAGATCCAAGTCACTCAGAAACAGCCTGAGGGGCTGCAGTTCTCATGTTGGCCAGCAGGTGCAGGGCCCCTCTTTTTGCGGTTTAGCTTCCAGT